TAATTTCAATACAAGCTGTGTGTATCTAAGGCTTACTAGAGCTACTAAGTCAGCCTTAGTACTGGTCAAGTGCTGGATTGGGACGTGAAATTATTTCATCTTAATTTTATCTTTTTTTATTTGACTATATATTTCATTAATTTATAATATACAACCGTATTTGTTTACAAATGCAAAGCTAGATTTCAAAACACATAAATGAGAAGAAGAAATTATGAGTTTATGCCAATATTTGAATTTTAAATATTTTGTTAATTAAATTCAAGGAAAATTGCTTTTAATTGTTAAAAAATTCCAAAAATGTATTGAAAAATTTCCAAGTTGACAGCAGACTCTAGCCTTTGACATCCCGCCGGCCCGGCCCATGCCCCAGGCTCGGCCCAGCCCAGGCCAAATATACATCTATGGTGATTCAAAAATTGAATAGGAAAGCCAACTCAAGTTTGCCGGAGTGATACAGTTTGTTTATCTCGATTTTTCTTGTTCTTGTTCTTCTTCTTCTTCTTTTTTTTTTTTGGCAAAATTGAACTTATCTTAAGATTTTGGGCTTAATGATTGCATTTTTTACCCCAATCAGACGAGAGAGATGATTTACAAAGCTATGTTTGTACTTCTTGCTTCCCCCGGAAAATTCATATATAACTATTTTTTTGGATTTGGGCCCTTTTTGTTAAAAAAAATATATAATATTTGTAAATTTATCTAAAATCATAAATTTAAAGTCTGACCATCTTCGCATTTTCTAATTTAAGTCACCAAAAAGCTTAAGAAAAATAAAAATTAGTTGTTATACTTTTTCCATTTGTCCAGATGACTGTAATAAATTCATCAACCCTCCTATAAATAAAAAATACTTATATTTTGTTTAGAATTTTATGATTTTTAAACTATGTTAGCAAAATATATTAACAATATTTTTATTATGTGTATGTGTTAATATATAATCATAATGCTTTTCTTTTCGGAATGTAATCTTTTGCCATAATACAGCTATTTGAGTAAAAAGGGAAAATTAGAATACAGCCATTTTTACCATAATAATGAAAAAGAAAATTTGAGGGAAAATTAGAAAAAGAAAAAAGGGTAAGCACCAAGACTTTTAGAGAAATACACGTGTCAAGAATTAATTTAGTTGGACCGCGCTCGACTTTGAGGGTTTAAAGCTGTAACGGTCACTTCTTACAACGGTCCTCAAAATATTGAAACCGGAACATTCACAGAGCACGACGCCCCTGAAGAACCAAGCTCTTTCACTCTCGCCGTTTCCAAACTCTACGCACTGCGTTACGCTGCAAGTGAAGCTAATAATTTCTTTGTCTACTTCAAGATATTCTCAGTTCTCTCGACAAGAGAAACTCTCGGCCCATGGAAGATCTACAGTTCAGCACTTTTGGCCAAGTTCCAGAAACCCTAAATCGATCCCCTCTATTCCTGGGGTTCTTGATTGGGAAAAAACCTTGGATCAAGAAAAAAAGTTTCTATCATGGAGGAGGATGATGAATCTTCGGTTGATTCCATGGTTTGTGCTTCTAGTTCGAGGTTGATTCCAAATGGGTTTGCGAGGCCCAATTGTACTGGTAACCTTTCTGTTTAGCCCCAAATTAGGAGAGGGTTCCGTTGTCAATTTCATCTACTGTGGTCGTTCCTGATTGATTTATGATTAAAACTGCTTGAAACCAGCTTTAATCGCAACAAGTTGTTGCTTTTTCAGTCGTGGTCTTAAATTTAGTTATTCTTGTTAAATTGTGGTGTTTTTTTGGTGGGGGAGGTTCTTGTAGAAGGGAAAGAACATGGTTTGAGTTGAACAGCTCAATCATTTGAAATTTCACTTACATTGATATTAAAAGAACCAACTTTCTTTTTTCTTTCCATTAGTTCTGTCATGGTTGCTGGAAAATTTAAGGATCCTCGTAAAGCAAAAATCCTATAAATGTTGTTCATCCTGCTAGTTTTACTCCCTGAGGGGAAAAAAATTAGACAATCATATTCAGGAGTTTAGTTAGCATTCTTTAATTTATTCAGCAACCAAGTAAATGGTTGTTACGGCATTGGAGTATTTAAGTTGCTAATTGGTTTGTTCAAGCAGAGGAAGTCGTGATGTTTGTAAATGCTGGAAGTGAGGATTCTACTCAGGCAGATTCCTGTATGAATTTTATTGCTGATAACTATTTCCAAGGAGGAGATATATTCCAAACTGACGAGCTCATAATTGAGTCCGGAGATTACGCATTTATATACAAGTCAGCACGACTGGGAAACTTCTGTTATCAGTTTGAAAATTTGCCCCCTGGAGCATATTATGTTGATCTTCATTTTGTAGAGATCATAAACACTAATGGGCCTAAAGGAATGAGGGTGTTCAATGTATTCATACAGGAAGAGAAGGTAAGTACATTAAGTGAATTGCGGTATTTTGATTATTCCTATGATTGAAATCATTGGTACTTAAAAATTTTGTTTTATTTGCAAATATAGATTTTGTCGGACTTTGATGTCTTCTCGATTGTTGGAGCCAACAAGCCACTGCAGGTTGTAGACTCAAGGGTTTCTGTCAAGGATGATGGGCTGATAGTAATAAGGTTTGAAGGAGTCAATGGAAGCCCTATTGTTAGTGGAATTTGCATAAGGAGATCGCCAAATTTGCCAGGTTGTTTGTGATCTTTAACCTTTTCATCTGTGGCAAATGAACTGTATAGCTAGTCTTGCTTCTTTCTTGCAACATCTAATGTTAATTTTTTTTTTTTTTTTTTGGGGGAAAAATGGGACTTATTTACAGCTCCAGAGATGAAGCATGAGTATCTTGTATGCAGCAACTGTGCCACTGAGGTTGAAGTTCCTTCAGCTCAGGTATGATGAAGCTCAAGATAAAACATGGATCCTTTGGGTATTCTGTATCTGTAGTCATGTGTCAAATATTTTGATCTGCAGAAGAAAGTCATGCGAATGAAGTCAACAGAAAAGTATGAGAAGAAGATACAAGAGCTGAATACTCAGTGCCAGCGCAAGACTGATGAATGTTATCAAGCCTGGATGTCCTTAACTGCTGCAAATGAGCAGCTAGAGAAGGTTAGGATGGAGCTCGACAATAAGTTATTTCAGACATTCTCTCTTGGTAAGATTTGATTTTTTTATGTTTGCTAAATGTTCTTCAATTCAAGTGACACTTTTGGTATCTGCAAAGTAGACTGGAGGAAGAGTTTTCTTGGAGTTATAAGCTTTTGCATGGTCCTTGCAAAAGAATTGATTAATAGTTTGTTCTGTCTAGTAGCCTTTTTTCCCATTTCAGAATCATTTTGCCTATAGAGAAACTTTGTCATAGCCCAATTAGTAACGATGGTGAAATGCAGACAAGTATATAAACCAGAATCTTTTAGAATAACAACAATTTTTTAGATCTCCCCTAGATTAACTCAACAGAACTGAGAATCACAACTTTTTTTTCATGATTTTCTTCCTTCTTTCAGATCAAACTGTAGAGAAACAAACTGAAGAGCTGAGGAATATTACAACCAGGTATGAACGAGACAAGAAGTTTTGGGCCACGGCAGTTAAGAATTTAGAGGAAAAGATAAAGGTAACTAATGTTATCTCCTCATGATTGGCAAGCACATAGATGCATTTTTAGCTGTTTTTATGATATATTTTTCATCTATATCTATTGAACAGGTGATTAAAAAGGAGCATTCTCAGCTCTCCCAAGAAGCGCATGATTGTGCTGATTCAATTCCTGAGTTGACTAAAATGGTTTTTGCAGTTCACTCCCTAGGTAAGTTTGAATTTAAGTTATGAAAAGATGTGTGATTCGGCATTTATAAATTTGCATGAAATGCAGTTGCACAGTGTGAGGACCTTAAAGTCAAGTACAGTGAAGAGCAAGCAAAGAGAAGGAAGCTATTTAACCAAGTTCAGGAGGCAAAGGGTATGTTCCATATCATTCATTGACGCATCCTTTACATTTAAAGTGGAATCAATTCAAGGTGCTAATTATAATGGTTGGTTTTGAAAATCAGGAAATATCAGGGTATTTTGCAGATGCCGCCCTTTAAGCAAGGCAGAAGTTGCTGCTGGCTATGCTACAGTTGTAGACTTTGATGCGGCTAAGGATGGGGAACTTGGAATCCTGAGTGGTGGTTCCTCCAGAAAGACATTCAGATTTGACCGAGTTTACACTCCAAAAGATGATCAAGGTATTTTTTAAGCATTAGGTTGGGCCAAAACACACAAACACCTTCACAATTAACTGTTGTTTTTGCTTCCCTTGGCAGTTGATGTGTTTGCGGATGCTTCTCCAATGGTGATCTCTGTCTTGGATGGATACAATGTTTGTATCTTTGCTTATGGACAAACAGGAACAGGTAAAACATTTACAATGGAGGGTTCTGAGCAAAATCGAGGAGTCAATTATAGGACTCTTGAGGAACTGTTTAAAGTTGCTGAGGAAAGGAGTGAAACTTTTACCTATAATATATCTGTTAGTGTGCTTGAAGTCTACAACGAGCAGATCAGGGACCTGTTGGCTGCATCACCAACATCAAAAAAGTAAAAATACTGTTTATCTTTTGGCATGCATGCATATATAATAACAAAGCTGAGCAAGTAAACCTTTATTCTAGCATCCTAGAGTTTGATAACTTTCTGAAGTTGTAGAAAGATAACATGGCTCAATTGACACATTATTACAGGTCAACATGTTGAATTCTATTGACATTGTTCTTGGGTAATGCTAGGTTAGAGATAAAACAAGCTTCTGAAGGGTTTCATCATCTTCCTGGAATGGTGGAAGCCAGAGTGGAGAACATAAGAGAAGTTTGGAATGTACTGCAGGCTGGAAGCAGTGCAAGGGCTGTTGGATCCAACAATGTGAATGAACATAGCAGCCGTTCTCATTGGTAACAGCCTCTATAGTTTCATTATATGCTGTTTGTTTCAACTTCTCATTTGTTTTTCTTCATTTATATTATTTTATTCTACATTAATAATTGTTTTCTCCTCTTGTATAGTATGCTTTGCATAACAGTAAAAGCAAAAAACTTGATGAATGGAGAATGTACCAAGAGCAAGCTATGGCTTGTGGATTTGGCAGGCAGTGAAAGGCTGGCAAAAACTGATGCCCAAGGGGATCGACTCAAAGAAGCTCAAAATATTAATAGATCACTTTCAGCTCTGGGAGATGTTATATCAGCCTTGGCAACTAAAAGTAGTCACATTCCATACAGGTGTCCCTTCAAAAATCTTTCCTCCTTTCTCCATAGAAGGGGCATTCTGTTATATATTTTTCTTGTGATTTCTGGACTCAAGTTGCACTGACATGGATTTCTTCTTATTCTCTCTTAGGAACTCTAAGCTGACACATCTACTGCAGGATTCATTAGGTATTGCCAATTCTTTATCATGCTGTACTGGTTTTCTTTGACATAATTGAGATCTTATATCCCTGATAGGATCAACTAGTCATATCTATACAACAATTAAACATGTTATTTGTTTCAGGGGGAGATTCCAAAACGTTAATGTTTGTGCAAATCAGCCCTTCAGAGCATGACGTGAGTGAGACTCTGAGTTCATTAAATTTTGCTACCCGGGTTCGAGGGGTTGAGCTTGGTCCTTCCAGAAAGCAAATTGATAATAGTGAGCTGCAGAGAATGAAAATGATGGTACAATTCACCATTTTCTATTATATTTTTCCTTTCATGTATATATATGCTTTCCTTCTTTGGATATATTTCACATAATGATAGCACTTCAAGTGACTGTTCTTTTCCTGGATTTCTCTGAAGCTTGAAAAAGCAAGGCAGGAATGCAGATCCAAAGATGAATCTTTGAGGAAGCTAGAGGAGAGTTTACAAAACTTGGATAGCAAAGCCAGAGGCAAGGATCAGTTTTGCAAAAACCAACAGGAAAAGCTTAAAGAAATTGAAGGCCAGCTTGAGCTGAAAGCGGCATTACACAGCCAGTCAGAAAAGCAAATTTTTACAGTTGTCAGAGAGATTGAAGGGAAAGGATGAAATTTGCACATGTCTGCAACAAAAGGTTGACAAAAAACTCAGTAAATTGATTCATGCTTCTTGTTCCTGTAAAACTAGTAACAAATTGTTCTAATTACTGGTTATCTTGTATCTGCTGAAGGTAAAAGAGTTAGAAAACAAGCTTAGGGAACAGGAGCAATCAGACTCTAGAACTCATCAACAGGTTTTCCTGAAGCACTTCTTGATGTTTTCTTTTACAAATTTTCTGTTCATGACATGTTATGTTTGTATATAATTCATGGATAATAAGAATTTAGATAAAATAGATAGTCACAGATAGCATTAAATCAAATTCATTTCTTATGCCCATGAAAATTGCTTGACTAGCTTCTTTTAACTTGTCAAGCAGGTCAAAGATCTTCAAAACAAATTGAAAGAGCAATTGAGAGAATCAGAATCCCACTCTGCCATTCTTCAACATAAGGTTTTTTTTTTTTAGTTATCAGAATTACTTTTCCTCACAAATTTTATGGGAAAAAAAGGACAAGTTAAGGGTAACAAATATGCTTCATTGTTTCAGGTTGAGCTGGAGAGGAAACTGAAAGAGAACCAGGAACAGAACTTGGACTCCTTGCTTCACCAAAAGGTCCTCTCTCTCTCACTCTCTCTTTCTCTCTCTCTCTCTCTCTATGATGCTTCAGAACCTTTTTGGTGGTTGCATGTTTTGGTCAACCAGCCTTTATGTTGCGTGGCATCTTCTGCCACCCATTAGTCCTGCAAGGGAACTCCACAGGATTTCAAATCATGGTTTTGATTGTGAAATGCATGTGGTATATAAAAACCCTTGATATTACTACTAAACTATTTAAGTTCTATGAAACTTGAATGTACTATAGCGTCTTTATAATTTTATTGTTCTTATAAATTTGATACTTGTGACATTGCTACCATGAAGTAATTATGAGGTCTTGATTAATCTCAACTAATTAAAGCAATAGACAGAAGGTCTCAGTTTCCTGTAAGATAATCTTCTAAACCTGAATAAAAAGCAATGACTTCTCTGGTACAACAAAAATAAGCATGAACCTTTCTGTAACATTTTTCAAATGACCATTCTCTTGTTCCTTAGTTTAAAACCCTTCACATTGGTGAACTTAGTCAAAACTTTTGGCAGATTTTTTTTCAATTCCATGCAAGAAAGTAGAAGCATTAATATTCCTTCCATTCATGTCTAATAATAGATTAAGGATCTTGAAGAAAAGTTGAGAGATCAAGAACAACGTTTTGCTTCAAGAGAAATTCTTGACGATGCTGATGCACCAAGAGCTACCCCACTGGAAGTCAAACACTGTGCAAGAGATGAGACCACGAACAATACCGAGCACCACATTCTTAGGAGTTCAAACACAATAAATCGCAGGGGGAGCCAAGGATCTACATTTTCAAAGGGACATGAATCTCTGCAGGATGCAAGAAGGAAGAGATTGTCTCGTAATAGTGATACAGAAAATAAATTTGTTACTACTACAATTTCCTTGAATGATAGCAAGGGCAGGCAATCAGACCCCCCTAAATCATTTGCTACAAGGATCACAAGAACAGCCAAGCCTGTGGCAACCTCTCAAAGGCCTTTCACCCATAGCAGGACCACCAGAGATCAGGTCCAGGGAGCGAAGGAGAGGGAGAGTAAGAAACGCATTTGGTCCAGATAGTAAATTGATGGCAAACAGAACCTTTCTTCTTGCCACAGAATTGTTGCATTTGTATTTTTTTCCTTTTCTTCTAATTTTGAAAACATATCTGTCTGTAATATTCTTTAGATTGAATGAAATATGTTTTAATTTCTCAAGTTTTATCCTTTAGGCTTCTGAAATGTAATCCTAACCTATTGGCCAGTGGCCTTTGGTTTAGATTAGAATACTGATACAACAAATATAAAGATCATTGACCTCTTACATTAAGATTTAACATCAAATGCAAGCTCTCCTAAACTTACAACAGGTCTTAATCCGGACCAGACTTAAACATCAAATCTGAGTTGTAGAGTAGCTCTCAATTTTAGTCCGGACGTAACGTCGATTATAAGCTTCTTCTGAATCTGAGCTACAAGACAGCCCTCATGTGATTGAAGAAGATTCCGGGGTAACCGCGTAGTCATTGAGTTGAACCATAACCAAACTTTGTTAACTTTAAAATGGTTCACCTGCAAGATTGATAAAACCGTAAAAGTGTAATAAAATGGGTAAATTATGTTAATCATTATTGCACTTTTACCGTTCTCCTGTTTTCCCTTTTACCCTGTTTAGCACGTTTTATTATTATTTATTTTTCTCACTCTTCTTTTAACATATTTATCTCACAGCTAGTATGAAAACCGAACTTTCTAATTTCCCATTCGAACTCGTAACCCCCCACCTCATCATTACCACAACAGAACTTACATAAAGAAAATAAAGAAAGGGGGAGAAAAAAACACGGGGGCTTTCAACAAACACCAGGTCTCCGTCATCCCTCCGGTCAAAGTCGGTCGGGGAAAATGATCTCAACCGTCGGATGGAAATGAGAAGATAACAAGGCAGAATGGACGGTCATCTGGACACGTAGAGAGTGATGAGGGGCTAAAAAATAAAAATTGCAATGATGAGGGGGTGGTGTGGTGGGTGCTGCGGAGGATGTGTTTGTTTCACCTCGCACCAAGAAAGAAGAGGCCAAAGAGGGTGACGATCGGCGCAACATTTTCCTCGTTTTTCCGGGGGTTAGAACTTGGCCTGCCTTAGAAATCATCTCTCTCTCTCTCTCTCTCTCTCTCTCACAACACACACACACACACACACAAACAGGGAACACCGTTAAACACGTCATCACTTTCAGAACCAAACAAAAAACGTAATTATCACTAAAAGTCGATCATTGAGACCCATGACGACGACATTTTCTGATCCCTCTTTTTTGGTTTTCCGAATTTACTTGCTCACTTTATATATTAATATATGCAGGGTGAAAAGTGAAGCAATGTCGTAAAAGTGCTTTCAAAAAATAAAAAGAAAAACTTTTTGTCACGATAGTGTTTTTGGAAAGTATTATTGGGTTAAGGCTTTCATTTTCAACCCAAGTCAATTTATATCTGAGTCCTATTCATTAATATTAAACAATTTAATTATTTAAAAAAAATTTACATAATTTTTCACATCCTAAAAGCTGTAATCTTGCCCTTGAAAGATCAAACCATTTGAACCAATAACATTTAAATTTATTATCACGCATTAGCCATTAAGCCACTTATTCCACCAATAAGAGTGAATACCAGTTCGATAGTTTAAAAATATACTTATTAAGAAAAATTTTAATCTTTCGTGCTTTTGTCACAAAATATGTTGGTTTCGAGTTAAAGTTAGTACAAGAATGCCCTGATTTCACCCAAAAAAAGAAAAGAAAAGAAAAAAACTTTGTAAAGCTTTGAAGAGCATGGGGTAAAGATGACCTTTTGTAAGAATTATTTTTAAATACTTTCTTTAAAAATCATTACTTTTTTCTTCTTTTTTTTTGGGGGGGGGGGGGGGGAAGGGGAGTTTATGTAATTTAATTAGGTTAAATTTGCTATTTTTTAAAATTATTTTTGAACTTCATTCATTTAGAAAAACAATAAATTTGTAAACAATTTGTTTGTTTTCCCTACCTGTCTTCTCTCTTCACAATGTGCATGTACCTCGAGCTCGGCTTTCCCTGTCTGAAATTTATATTATGCAACTACAACTACAAAGTCATGGGGCTAACCCACATTTAATTCGAGTTAAATCGTGCAAAACATAAGGGAAAATTACATTTACACCCTCACATTTATAACCAGGTATCACTCATTAAGCACCGTGTTTTTTTTTCAAATTACGGTTTAATGCCTTAAACTACAACCTTTATCACCAATATTAAAAATCCATGGTGAGAACTTTGTCCCAGATCACTGAATTTGTAAGGAAATTAGTTCAAGTAAAATTACCCAAAACACCTTTATATAATTGGTGCAACTATGTTTTTTACATTTTACTATGTTGAAACAAAGCAAATGATTGATTACCCACCACCTTAAAAATTTTAGATATGACATTTGATCCTTCCTATCTCATCAACGTTGCATAATCAATTTGTTTTCTTTGTGAAAACAATATATGATCTGTTTTAAAGTTTCTAATTAACTTTAGATTTGTCTAAATATTAAAAGTTTTTATAATTAGTTTTAAAAGAATTAAAAAAATAAATTTCTTTCTACCCAGGATTCGTAGCGATTTTTTATTGTAGCAAAGAATTTCTATCTATATTTGTTGATAGATATATAAGAATTGGGATTTTTCTTTTTGATACAATCTGAATTTATAATAGTTATTTATTTAATGTTAACAACTAGATAAGGAGATTAAGGGTGCATTTATTTAAAATACTCTTTTACCAAAAAGTCACTTTTGAAATATTTTACAGTATTTGAGTAAATTTTTAAAAGCGTTATTTTTTAAAAATCAGATTTTTGATTATTTTCAAAGTTAATATAAAAAATATTCAAAAAAATTATTTTTAAAAAAATTATCCAAACGCATCTTAAATATCACATCTAAATACATGAAGAAAAACCAAGAACTCACTTTTAACATTAGTTACTTTCAAGTTGTCATGCAAAAAGTGGTTTGATGTAATTTACCCTAACGTTATATATCTATACATATAGCAGGCTACAAACCTTAATATATGTTAATTATTGTATAAATGTTATTACGCATGTTGGGATCACTAAAAACCTGTTGTATATGTAGCATGAACATTAATGTTATTCACCCTAAACACAATTTAAACATTTACTGTGTTCAGTAATTGTATTTAAACACTCACCCTGCCGCCATGTAATTACTTAACAAAATTAACAATTACATGCTTTGACTCTTATTTGTGAGTCGACAATCAACAATTAGAGATCAAGTCAGACATGGGGACACACACACACACATGTATGTGTAGTGTGTACATATATATATATATATATAGATATAAACATTCAGGTTTACAATATTAAGATGTCTAAAAAAATAATAGTGTTTTAATTGAATAATTTGACAAATTAATTTTTAATCATAATGTCTTAAAGGAATTATAAAAAATGAATTTAATACTAAATGTGAAACGTTTAAAACAAATTTCTAATTTCCGGCGGTACCACAAAAATCAAACTCCTCTTGGACGAAGGTGATCGAAGGTTTGAAAAATTTGGTGCCAGTTTGGAAGAGGGTCGCAGCTTCTGATGATGATGATGGTGATGATGAAGAAGAAGAAGGCTCATGAAATTCTCGCAGGCGCTTCCAATTGACGGTTGACATAACACAAGGCCGTTGCAGCAAAAGGTTTGTCTTCAGGTCAGTCCATCACGTTCATCACGCGCCTCCTTCCTCTTCACTTCATGAGCCACCCATCTCTCTCTCTCTCTCTCTCTCTCTCTGTGGCTACATCTTATTATTTTGAACCACAAAAATTATTTTGTCAGTCGAAATTTTTGCCCTATCTTATTTACCCATTAATTATATAATATGTTATTTATTCTCCTCTAACACTAACACTATTAAACATCGTCACACAAAATTAAAGAAAAAAAGGTAAAATAACACAATGTTTACCTTCCCTATTCTAATTATATCATTTAATCTTATCCATGCAAGAAAAAATCTAGTTTTTTGATATTATTGTGTAACAAATAGGAACTGAAGATGGGTAGATTTCAATTTGTAAATTGCAATTCTTGAGTAATTTTTACTAAATTCAAATTATTTACTCATAATTAATATTTTTATTTAGTTAAATTGTGCAAATAATTTAAACTAATTTTTTAAAATTTAACTATACTTTAGTTTAATATCTAAATTAAATATATATAAAAAGAAGTGATTAATTAACACTAGTGCAAATATAAAAACACTTATACTAAATTTTATATAATTAATTTAGTTAAAATTAATAAATAAAATTAACTAATATTTTGAAAAAATAACTGTAAATCAATATAGTGAAAGACAATTTTAATTAATTAAATTTATTAAATTTGATCAAATCAATTGTATAAAATTTAGTGTAAGTATTTTACACTAATACTAGTATCAACTAATCTCTTTTTATTTAATGATATTTATTATCAATTATAATATATTAGCTTAAATTTTTAAATTTTAAAAATTAACTATTTTAATAATAATATTTTAAAAAATTTAATATTTAAAATTAGAGAGTTTATAGGTTAACATAACAACTGTTTTAACAATGCTAATGTTAAAAAAATAAATGGTATATTCTATAATTTAGGGAATAAATGAAATAGAGAAAAAAAATTTAAGAGACAATAAAATAATTTTTACCCCGTCATTAACATGCAAAACTATTTTCTTGTAAAATATGAAAATAGTATTTTAAAAATAACACTCACAATAATTATTTTTTATAATATATAATATATTTTTAATACATCACGGCATCCTTCCTTACATCACATATGATTAGAAATTTACTGTAATATTTTATTTTGGTAGCTTAATTTATACTTTCAACATTTTTACCTTAAAATATAAGAAAATATTGCGACAATATTCCAATAAATCAATATAATTAAAATTTCCAAGTACGGGAACAAGACAAAAATAAATGATGGTTAATAACCACGGTCCCCAGTAAATGGGGTAAATTCATTTTAACACGGGCACACGAGGCCGGGCCACCTATAAAGGTGGCACGGAAAGGCGACGACAGGATATTGCAACATATAAAGACTGAATTGACGGACGGCGGGGACATGATTTGATCGCTACTAATACATATTCAATCGAAAATGGAATTAATCTCGACCACTTATTTTTTAAATAGGCGGTTTAGATTAACAGTCAATACGTTTATGGTCAACCTTCAAAGTTCAGAAATTTAAAATATATTTTTTTGGGGATTTGTTCTATCGTTGAATGCACAAAGACCAAAAATGACGAAATAATCTCCATTTTTTTTAAATTTAAATTGAGATATCCATTTGCAACAGGATTTTTTGGGGGTGTTAGAAAAAAAATATATAGTGGAATTTTTTAATGAATTTTTAGTATTTTTGGAATGAATTTGTAAAGGATATTTAATAGTAAATAAATTAACTTGATTTTCCAACAAGGCAAGGGGAATGATGGGGATAGAGAACAGAAATTGGCTTTCTACAATAAGTGAGAACTCTGGTACATCGTACGTACAAGCACTTGGCGGTGGCACCTACTCTATGATTATGGTGTTTGGAGCGTTCGGGGGTTATTTGGTAATTAAATTTCCAGAATGTTAAAATTTTTGGGTTTTAATTTTTTATGATAATCTTTTGTAATTATGAGTTTTTGAATTTTTAAAATTGTATTTAACATTTTGAGATGTTTTTAGTTTTTAAAAGCCCTTATAGTTCTTCCTTTTTTCCCAGAATTTTAAAACTTCTGAATTTTTAAAGAAAAAAAATTAAAATTTAACAATTTTTCTATCATACTTTTTCTTTTTTCTTTTTTCTTTTTCTTTTCATTGTCACTGAGGTATAGATAAACACTGCAATTGACGAGTGTCTGCACCTGCCTCTCTAGCAAAATGGAGATATCTTGTGCGAGATAGATTGTGTAAATTACAAAATTTTGAGATCGATCATTTCCTACAATAATTTAACCGAAATTTTTTTTTAAAGAAAATCAATGTTTTTTAATATTTTTCAAATTTATTTTTATTTTCACTCGGTAAATTATTTACAAAAATTCTAGGATTTGACATTTGTTTTTAAAAGAACATAAAAATTTTATTTAAGATTTGTTAAGGAAAAAGAAGAAGATTTGGATAAATTATCTCACTCCCACTCTTAATCCCACCCCTAATTTCAATTTCTCTTCGTGAACTTCAATATTGTCAACGCAACCAAAAATAGAACATGCATATATGTATATATATGCATATATAGGAAAAAAAAAATAAAAATTAAAATTAAATGATTTTTTATAATTGTGTACACAAATTCTTCACTATAACTCCAAAAGCCAGCTTTTAAGCTGAAAATATAATTTTAGATTTTTTTTTTAATAAGCATAAATAAGAGTGTGAAAATGGAGATGCATAATTACAGAAACAAAAATTGATAGTAGTGGGGACCTTTTTCTTTTCAGGGAATTAAATAGTTAAAGGGGAGAATGATGAAGATGGCAAAAGCATCTAGGACATGAGAGGGCGCTCCCAAGTCACAAAACACAAAAACAAAAAGCACAATGAGAGTTTTCTCTGTGCCTATTAGCACGGGGCTCATTATCCAAGACCCATAAAAAATAAAAAGTTTAAAGCACAAAAATTTTCATTCAAAAACAAAAAGGAAAAGAAAACCCTCATCTCCCTCCTCCGTGATTCAAACGTTGGACGGGACATTCTTCAATTCAGCACACTTCGTTCCAAACCACCCCCACATTGCATCAATTATCACAACCCCCCACCCCCCCCCCCCCCCCCCCAAAAAAAAAAAAAAAAAACCTAGCCAACAAGGTGTCAATTCGTGATCTCTTAGAGCTTTATCAAAATTATAATAAATTATTTAAAAATAAAATAAAATAAATAACTTTAACTGGGTTTTTTTATTATATCATGTATACCATGTGTGTGTTGTCATGGTGATCTGTGCCACCCCCTAGGCAAATACTAGAGCTAAGCAGTGAGCAGGCTAGGGTCGTCTCTGAGGTTGCGCCGAGCGACGTCCGACCTTACACAGCTGCTGACGGATGCTGTGTTGCTGCTATGTTTCAGTAACTGAGGAGTCTGGGAGACAGACGCTGAGACAGTAAGGACTCGGAAGGCTGACTCAACATAAAACAAATCAAAGATATGCTGCCCTTATTTCCATCTACTAATGGTCCAGCATCGTTCACAGATCCCAAAAATATTCGAGTAACAACGTAGAAGAGAAACTAACAAGAAGAAAGGAGGAGAATTTTACGAAGATTTATTGCAGTTGAGATCAAGCACTTAACAAAACCATTAGCTTTAAGCTCCAAACTGATCGTCGCCATGGATGAGCATGAAGAAACCCACAGAGACAAAGAGGTAAAAGCTCTAAGTTTCTTGTTATTTCTGTCATAAACAACAATATTCCTGCAATTTTTGTAGGAACAGATGAGAAAATAATGGGTATGTAACACGCAGCTACAAGAAGGGAAAACCATCCAACATATAACAAATTAAAGCTGTTGATCAGCGTCTTGCTAAATATAAATCCAAAGTAAACAAGTGAAAAATAAAAAAGAAAGATTACTGATTAATTTCCTTTTTTTTCCGTTCCCACCCTTATTTCATATTGATCCACAACTTCCCCAAATATAAAACAAGAAAAAAGGACTAGAAATAGATATATATATATATATATATATATATATCAAGTTCTATGTAACTCCTCAACTATGGCAAAGCACTGTACTGATTCAAGTCGGTCCAGGCCTGAATCCCGCTCCAGCTGCTTGTACTTTCATTGCCGTTGCTGGTACTGTTGGTGGGGGTAGGGTTTACATGCGCTGCACCTGCATAAGAATTGTCGAAGTACCATTCGGTTGCTACTGCACCACCACCACTTGCACCCTCTTTTCTCGAATTATCCTCCGGTTTCGATATCTCCAGGTTCTGAAACATGATGGGTTGTGGCCTTTCCAAGCCAGCACCGCTCTCCTTCTGATTTTCATTTTCGCCGCCTCCGAAAAGCGCCGCCAACCTCTGCTGCTGCAGCTTCCAGTGCAGGTCTTGGTTGATACAACTCAACGACTCGATCGACGACGCAAGAGAGGTCGGAACGTTCAATCCCATCCCTTGAACCCCCTCTCCAAATCCGCCATTAATATTCTCTCCTTGCTTCATCATAGGAAAATTTAGCCCCATTAGGGGCGTTTCGAAACCAAAACTAGGAGCAGCATTAGTGGCCGGAATGTCTCCGAATGCTGAAAATTGATTGAGTGATGGCTGAAACCTAGGCAAAGAGAGGCCACCGAGTTGAAAATCCATGGCCGGGGAGAGACCGTGGAAGAACTTCAAAACACCCATGTCGGAAGATCCACTGGAGTCCTTGGAGTCGCTGGACAGCCTAGAAGACGACGACTTCATCTTCTTGTTTTTCCGGCAGCCGCCCCCGATGGGAACGTTGCGGAGGGCCCCGCCTTTGGTCCAGTACCTTCTGCAGGTCTTGCAGAAGTGCCGTGGCTGGCTAAGGCTGTAATTGTTGTAGTAGCAGAACTTGGTGTTTGGGGAATCGCATCTCGGGCACTTGAGGGGCTGTTGATCCGGTGGCCTCACCGACGACGATGTTTTCCGGCTGCCAGAGCTCTGGCTCTCGTCTTTCGTCCCCGGCTTCGCCGGCATATGCTCTGCCGACATCGGACGAGTCTCCTACTCTTGCACCAAAGCAAATTTGGAATACTGATATATATGTATACTATACTAGAGAGAGAGAGAGTGGGGTTTGCGGTTCAGTTCCTTTTGCAGAGCGAATGAAATGAAAATTCAATATTTTCATGCATGAAGTTACAAGATGAAGGGTGTTGGTGTTGATGGGCTCTTGTGATCTTCATCAAGGAGGAACAGGAGTGTAAGCTGTGTTTACAGGTTAGATCTGGTAGAATAAATAAAGCTAGCTCGATGAGAGAGAAAAATAGAGAAAGAGGGGTGCGGATCTTGCTAGAAAAGAAGACTAGGATATATATATATACAAGTAGATGTAAAAAGAGATAGAGAGAGAGAGAGAGAGAGAGATAGAGATGAGAGAGAGAGAGAGAGAGAGAGAGAGAGACAAGAAATGCAGATGATCTGATAGTGATCTGGCAGACCGAAGATATCCACCTGTAGTCTCAAGAGAAAGATTAAAACCAAAAAATTTCTAAAAAATACAGCATAAAAAATAAGTGGATATATGGAGTTTAACTTTTTGACAGTCGGTAGTGGCACATCCGGATTAATCACTGTTACTGTGCAACTTTTTATCCCAAAAAGAAAATTTAAAAGCTGGAAGAGTAAATTACCAAATGGAGAAAAAAAACAAATAAACATAAATTAACCAAAAAGATGATTAGTTTATGTGCTGTTGTTGTATCAAACACGAATTAATGCTCAAGAATGAGATCAGTTGGATCACATCAGGGACCTGTGATAAAAAAAAACAAAAAAAAAAAACACAAAGAAATGAATTAAGACACAGCACTTACTTTTTACGCAGTAGTATGTTGCATGCAATACATGAATCAGAAGAGGAGTTAATTTGTATTGCATGCAAGGATCGAGTCATATTAATGGATGAATGGGTAAAATTTAGTTATTGGATGGAATACAAAGGTTGTAGGGAAAGTGCAGAGCAGCAATGGCAGGCATGTGTAGACAGTGTAGTTGTTGGGAAGGGGGGAGTTAGGACCAAGACCAAGGCCGGACAGCTTCACTGAGGCACCGCAGTTTTGTCTCTTCCTTCCTTGTGATGTCCTTTTAACCCAGTAAACTGATTCAACCCCACCCCCCTTTGCAGACTTCAGGAAGAAGCTGAGAAGTGCTAACCTTAAATATTGACCTTAAATTGTTCATCCAATAACTTATTTATGGAATTTGAGTAATTTAAAATTTTTATTCATTTAAAATTTAAAAAGACAAGCATGTGGAGTATATTTTAAATCGTCTAATTTATCTTAAAGATATGAGCTTATAATTTCAAGTACAGGAGATATAAATTCCACTACACTCTTATTATAAGAGAGAAGAATCTCATATATCTTATTATAAAGAAAAAAGATATCGTTCTAAAAAATAATATTAAATAAATCTCGATAGATTTATGAATAGGTTAAACCTTATAATTCCCTAAGTTCTTGGTTAATTCATCGGATACAATAACTTCTCAATGTTGATAGCATCCATCCATGTGGGAAGAACTTATAGAAGCAGTTGTCAAATTCAAACCCCCCAACTCGAAAAAAAAAATATAACAAAGAAAGAAGAGAAAGAATTGGTCCAAGGCCTTGCATAAGACTCTGCACATTCTGAGGCCCGAACAGCTGCAAGTCACAGCAACAGAAAGTACAAGTGAAACACGAGTAAAGTTACCTCTCTCCTTATTCCCAAACAATCCCACAAGCTCCTTCACGGTATCTTTTTGGTTGATTTATATTTTTTTAATTGGAGGGATATCCCATGCATGATCTCTTTTATAGGGAGCCTGGAGACCTACTAGAGTGAAATATGTTTATTACAGTTCCACGAGAAGAAGTCTATAATTCTTTTTGGCCCATCATGATTCCTTCACAGTGGCATGTGCCATGTTAAGCAGTAAAATTTGAGTAATCAATGATGTATTTTACTAAATCTTAATTTACGTTTTATATTTAGGTCACATTAATTTATTCAAATAATAAAATTTTAATTCTTTATTTCAAAACAACGATTGAATTTTATTCACACCCGACGGACCATAGTTTTGAACAAATATTGATGCTGAGTAATCTAACTCTCACCAAATTTAATTTTGGTGACTTACGTCCTTACATTCTTAATTTTCTGAAAATGAAACCAATTTACCTTCACTGCCATGATATATTTACTATAGAGAATCGAATTTACGGCTAAGAATGATTATGCTCGCCATTTCTGGTTAAGTTAACCAGTAACTTTTTGGTTTTTACTGTGGGTAAAGAAATACTTTTATTTATAAATTTAAAAATCTCCTCTAGTTTCCATTTTTTTAAAAAATATATTAATACATTTATGCTTGTTGGTTGATAGCCCATTTTTACATGCATTCATTCACTTCAATATCCTTGAAAAGAAAAAAAATAAAAATGAAAAAGTCTGGTTCTTCTCCACCGGAGCTACCCGATATGTTTTCCCTGCTGGACATGGCACAACCGCCCAAAGAACAAACTGGACGGCAGATGTTGCTTGTATGCGCTGGAAAAGAAACGTGTTGCGCCGTAATATTTCCGTATACAGCATCCAAACATACGCATACATTTACATATACGAGTATATGATGTGTATATCTATATATGGGGGGGAGAGAGAGAGAGAGAGAGAGGAGTGGAGCTCGTGAGAGGGTGGCCGGATTCCCGTGAAAGCAAACCAAAAACCGAACAGAGACGCTAATGTCACTACCACGTATCGGACGTTACTTCTCACGGGCCTGCAGTCTTCCCACTTAATCTTCCTACTCCGCTTACATTACAGACGTGCCCCTGAAAACTTCTCTAATTGCGAATACGTACACTCGACATTTCAAATCTGCATTATCAGCCCCCACTATTTAGCTTCATTAAATAAATTTCCGTATATCCCTAAATATTTCAATCCGTTGTGAGGGAAACAATTAATTATATGACAAGTAATTTGAATTAAAAAAATACCTCATTATTGTTATATTTTCGTACTCTATTATTATTTGATCATGTTGATAATTAAAACTGTAACATCTGATATTATACCTATTTTATTTTTTTCAATTTGGATCCATAAAAAGGATAAATTCTCATAAGAATACAAGTGACAAACATAAAGAAGGAATAAGAAAAGATAGGACTTGCATGTCAATCCTTTTCAAGGGTGTGGTTGATGCATACTGATTTTGGTTTCCTACCAAGACTCTTCCTCCTCCACAATTGCAGGCAGGGAGCTTGTGAATTTCTGATCATGCCTGCTCTTTTGATATCAGTTGGAGAACAATTAATGGAGTTTGTTTCAACTGTGCCTCCCTGTGCAACCCTAGCTTTGATCAAAGTATGAACTATGAGAACAAAAGCAAGTGTAATACTTTGCAGAGATCGGTAATGATTGAATTATAAATGCGAGATAGTAGATAATTGGGAACAAAATATTTAAGTCGGAGATGTTATAATATAGGATTTGGCAAGTCACTAAATTAGTCTTATTAGATATCTGATAAGTATGTTAAATTATAATATATACAAAAAAAATTTATATACATGTCAATATTTAATAAATTTGATTTATTGAATAATAATCTAATATCAAATTCACCGTTTAATAATATATATAACATTAATTTTGCCTCCATTTCTTTATGCAACCTCAGTGCAGTTACAATTATTGCTCGAATTTGTGCTTTATCTGACTATGCTATTCCAACGTTGATTGCAAACGTTCATCTGCTTACTCCCTTACTGTTCTTTAACAGATCTTCAATGGCTGCCATGCCTGGTTTACCAAGAGCTGCCCCGTCTACGTTCAATTTTCACATTCCTCGTACTGGATATCAAAACAATCCCAACCCCCTCGGCCACGCGGGTTAACCTCTTTGTCTCAGACTGTTTTCAAATACCTTTTGAAAAATCAAAAGTTGAAATTTAAAGTAAAAGTGAGTACAAGTGTATTACAATGGGTTGTTAGGAATATTTACAATATATGTTATAGAATTACGAAAACAGTAGAATTAGTATTTGGAATTAACTTTTTTGAAAAAATTATATGGTCTAATTTTGGATTTAAGAAAAAAATTCAAAAAAAAGTCCAAAATAATTTCTACTTAATTATAATAATATTACTCACAACTAGAAATATATCTCATCATATTTTTTAAATTTACTTCTAATTTTACTTTTTCTTATTAAATAAAACCAAATCAAATATAAAAATAAATTTTTAAAAATTTTAAAAATAATTATATATATTAGAAATATCAAATCGCTTTTGAAAGTTGTTCCAAACATTCCTTTGATCGAAGTAATTTCATTGACGTTTTAGATTGTCACGCCAATGTCTTTAATGTCATTTGCCCATTTCACATGTGCCCACCATCCTATCCATAATAACCAATGAGAAAATAAACCACAAGATTGGTTCATTTCCTCTCTCAACTTCGTTCACTTCAGAATGTTAAAGATATCAATACCAATTAAATATGTGTTCAAATGATTGGAAATTAAATTCATTTTCAACTCATTAGAAAATAATATTAAATATTTTTCTTAGAATTTTCCATTTTTAGATATAAATAAAAAAGTGAATTGAAGCCTATGTTTCAAATTGATGATATGCAGCTTGCAAGGAGGAAAGACTGTAAAGTCCAAGGGTAAATTCGTCGCAAAAGTTGTTATTCTCCTCTCCTATTCATTCGAGAAACCCTATTTTTTTTTTTTTTCTTTTTTAACCATTTAAGTAAATCCGAATAATTATTTATTTTTGAGGTGAACTCTTTTAAATTATCAAATCAAATATTTCTAAAAATATTTTTTAAAAAAATTTAAATCATTACGCGCCATTTAATTTTTTTTATTTCCAATTCATCAACTAGACGACCGTAAATCCACTTGTTTGCTTTTGATATTTTTTTTTTGTAGGAGATTATAAATATGTACTAACTTGAAATTGACTAATAATATATATAAATATTATTAATTATATACTCACTCACGCAATACTTATTTATTTTTATCTTTTTTCATGAATTTCATTATTTAATCGTGTAACTTTAATTTTTATATTATTAATGTCAAAATTATATCAAAAGCAATTGGTGTCAATCACTCAAAGAAAATGTATAAGAATTTATTAAATTAGATGTCCAATATATGAAAGAAATTTATAATAATCTTATAAACATATAAGACTAACAAAAGAAAAATATATTTTTTATTTGCTTTATTTTCAATTAATCGTAGACTATTTATTTGTTAAAAAGTGATTCTAGGAACTATTAAACTTTTAATTTTATAATTTTAAGAATAGTATAAATTAATTTTACTTCTTATTATAGGGAATGAAAGCCATAAAAAAATTTAATCACGTCAAATTTTAAAAATAATTTAAAATTTATTAAGAAATATAGGACACCACCTAATAATAATTTAACAAATTACTTTATGATAAATATATCAATAATTAAATAAAATTTTTGAATGATTAAATAAACTACAAAGCCACTTAAAGACATTTATTTATAATGATTTCTAAAAAATAAGGATAAAAAATTCAATAATAAAAGATAAGGAAAGTTTATAAGATATTTAGAATTTTAAATATAAACAAAGTAATTAGATAATTAACTTTAATTTTAACTTGAAACGACAAAACTCAAATCATTTTTCCTAAAATGGCAGCTCCAATAGGATTACCTTGCATGTCCTGAGGTGTTTTTGGTTTTCAAAATTAAATAGAATTAAACCGTATTGAAAGTAAATTTTTTTTTAAAAAAAAATTTGTAAGTTTTAATATTACGTAATATCATACCAACTATTTTAAACTGATTTTAGTTTTTCAAACACGACAAAAAAGTATCAAATCGAATATTATATATAATAATTTATTAAATTACTTATATCAAGCATTAATAATAATTCAACAATTAATTAAAGAAAATTAAAAGGTTAAAAACTTGTATAACAAATAAATGTAAATATTAAGGATTAAATTGCAAAAAGGATTTCAATATATATATCATACTTTTACAAGTAATTTATTAACTTTTGTATGTATATTAGAGAATGAGATTATTTTTTTTATCTTTTTTTAATCATATTTATATTATAATGTAGTGAATTATTTACTAATTTATTATCTAATTTAGATCTTATAAATTACTTTACACATGAGAAATCTCAACTTAAATTTTTTTTTTAAACATACTTTTTTGTTTTAAATAAGTAAAAAGTTTTACTGAATAGATATAAAAAGTAGTTTTAGAAAAAAAAATTGAAAGAAAAGTATTAGACGTAAGTAAATTTAAACTAAGTAATAGATTTTTTTTCCTGTCAAAAAATCTAAAATTAAAAAAGAAATTTATCATTGACAAATAAGTATAAATACTAGAGAGTTAGAATTTCAAATTTCAAAATGAAAATATTGAATTTTATATCTCAACTAGCAATAGAAAAAAAAGTATAAAATAATGAATACATACTTAAAGAAAAATAAATTTAAAATTTAAATTATACTGTATTAATATTATATATATATAAATTTATTAAATTTTATATTATATAGAGAATGATTGAATTTCTAAATAATTGGATTCTAAATCATTAAATAAAGTATTTATATTATATAGAAATTAATTAAATCCTTAATATTGATAAGTTTTTAATTAAATTAAATAAAAGTTTCAAGTTAAATTTGATTATATAAAGTTTACATTTTCATTTATTTCCATACGATTTTTTTATTTATTTTTAATATATTATGAGATAAAGAATATAAAATTATAAATGATTATTAAAAAAAGTTTTAAAATTAAAATTTTAAATATAAAAAATTATTGACATTATATAATTTTAAAGTTTTAATTTTTTTGTGCTAATTATATAATAAAAATAATTTTATTTGATTTTATAAAAATTTTATTACTTTATTTAAATACTTTAATATGATTAAAAATTGTAAAATTTTATTAAAATTTTATCAAAATTAAATTAACATTTTAATTTTAATATTAAAAAATTAAAATAATTGTTATAATATAATTTTATAATAAAATCGAGAAAAATCCAACCGTGATTTCTCATTGCCCTCCCTTCGTGAACCCGACCCGACTGCGGCCGGGTGCGCTCGTGCCAATCAGTACTGGCTGAGGCCAGTTGCTGGCAGTGCCCCCGCCTCGGTGGTTCCCCCGACCGTGTTGCCAAGTCGCTCTCGTGACCCGCTGTAGAGAGAGAGAGAGAGAGAGAGAGAGAGAGAGAGAGTGCAAATGCAACGGTTGCTGATTTGACTGTCTTCAGCTTGTTGGTGGAACTGTCGATTTGTAATGCTTTTGGGTAACATCGCAGGGTAATTTTTGTTCAATGTTTTTTTTTTTTTTTTTTTTTTTTTAAAGAAATTTTGAAAGCCGGAGACACAATATGCTTTATTTTGTCTAAAATTACTTTTGAAAAGGGATCTTTATTCTCCTTTCTTTCGCCAGTACCGAACTTAAAAAAGACGAAGAAACATCTAGAAGTTGAATATTGAGCAGAGAGGAGATTCTTTTAGAAGCTTTTATGTGGTGTGTACTAGTATTGATGGGGCATCTGCAAATGTTTGTTTGAATATCTGGTATGGACCGTGCATCCTTCTTTTCAGCGATCATAGAGTTGTTCATCTGAAAAGGCTTGGACTTGGTCCGGTGAGTTTAAGATTCTTTACATTCATTGGCTCTGTTTCAATGTTATGAATGGTTTAGTTGTCATCGTGTCTGGTTGGCGGGTGGGTTTAATTAATGACTTGATTTTTGGATGAAAAATGACTAGCTTCATGCTGAACTCCACATGTTTGATGAAATGCCTCTTTGCATTCGTCGGTCAATACGTACATAAGCAGATGTGTCAGTCCTCGTTCTGTGTGTAATTTCTTAATGCCTCTTTTCATGTTGATAGATAATAATATAAATGCCTTTTGAGTCAACAATATAGCTGCTTGGTTTTGTATAGAAAACTGGGGCAGCCTCGTTTTGTATCGGACCAATTATTTATCTGGAAAAACTGTATGCATTCCTTGTGGATTTGATTTGTGAAACTAGTATGCCAAGGTGGACATCACTTTTTTTATTCTCTTTTCAAGGGGAGGGGGAGGATGCTCGAAGCCGACTAATGAATCTGTGTACTAAGTCCCTGTCATTGGGACTTTTGTATGGACTCAGAATAATTCACACATTTAAAATGAAACAAGCTATATGCTAAAATTTACATCTTGTCTGTGTGCTTTCGTTTGTAAGCTTTGTGCAAGTGAAGGGAAAAAAGGCTTCTATGTGTGCTGGTTATGGCACATGGGGACGAGTGTGACATTGTCATTGTCACTTGAAACAACAAACAGCTTCTTAAATGGAGATTTTTCATTTTGAAAACTTATGAGCTGCTAAAAACATTCTAAAATCAGAAGCAACCTTGCATGGCAGAACATTAACTTCAAAACTAGTTTACAATACACGCTTTATGGATTACATTATAATTGTGCAAAAGCTTCCTGTTAATTAAGAAATTATTTTTTCTGAGAATGCAAAGATGTTTGTTATGTTGAAGATTGGTTTTGCATATTATAAAATAAATTTAGAATTTTAGAGGTGCAAGACCATTTTAATTCAGATTTTACTGCTGGATATTTCAGTACTCAAAAATTTTCCAGATGGTGCAATCATCAGTCCTTGCTGCTAGTACTTTGAATAGAAGTATGGACCTTTAATATTAAGACACGTTTTGCTATCAACATGAACCTTGTACATTTGAACTTGTTGAAGTCTTTGATTTTACACACTAAATAAGCCTCTATGCCACCTTTGTGTTGGATACTTATCCCTTAATTTTTCACTAGACATTTTTTATTGGAAAGTTGAACTAATTATACACTCCCATCTTGAAATACAATTTTTAAGTTGTAATATTCTTATTTAATAGTTCAATAATGGTACATGCATCATTTTTGGAGTTTTTGTTGTTGATAGGAGCAAAATTTAATCTCACTGTTGGAGTTTGCCTTTTAACTTCAGATGGATTTGCTTGGATATTTTGGAACCCCGTTCGAGCCTTCCATCATTGAGAAGTGAAATGAATCTAACCCCGTTTAAATGTGATTTTATGTGCTTATATCCAACTATTTGAGATTATAGATCAAATTTGTTGTAACGTTTCTTGTTGAACTGATGCTATCATGCTACTAACCTTGTACTAATACTTCTTGCTGATGCATATGCTATTGTTTCATTATGATTTCTAGTTATCTCATGAATACTTCTTCACTTGCTGGACGTAGGCAGGCTTGTTTTAAGTGCTGGCAGTGCAAGTACTGTGCTTTTACATGAACATCACATTTCAACATGACAACCAATTGGGCATTTTTTTAAAAAAATGTTTAGATTGTAATTTTGCCTTTTAATTCATGGATGATAAAACTTTGGATGCCTTACTTCAGAATTTAAAATTGTTTTCCTTCTACGGGAAAACTTTGGTTTGCACCTTTTTGCTTAAAACTTGTTGTTCATTTCTTCTCCATAGGCTTAATAGTAAAAGCCAAAGAAATTTATTGGCTGCCATGGCTGCAATGAAGTCAAGGTCGAGTAGCTTCTCTCGCAATGTTGCAACTGTGCCTACCCCTCAGATACCTGGACTGAAGTGCGGACCAAATGGCACAATGTTTGTTTCATCTGGAATACCAGATCTTGATAGTAAGCTCCTCTTGTTTTTTTCTTTAGTTGGTAATGCAGAAACCAGTGTAGCTTTTACCGTTTTAGCCATTTTGCTGCTTTAACTACTTTTCTAATTTGTTTGCTGTTTCATCTCTTAATATGTGGCATGTTACAGAGATTTTAGGAGGTGGCTTTCCTTTGGGAAGCTTAGTCATGGTGATGGAAGACCCTGAAGCACCTCATCATATGCTTCTGCTAAGGAACTTCATGTCTCAAGGGCTTGTTCACAACCAACCTCTTCTTTATGCCAGTCCATCAAAAGAACCCAGAGCTTTTCTTGGTACTTTGCCCAGTCCAATATTGTCTAAAGAAGATAAACACCGTGATAATGATATAGAACAGGTAGTGCTGTCTTGATCACATGCACAATTACACAGCTGTGCAAGTCATTTGTATTCTTTGTTACCGGAATCAAGACTTTCTGAATACAAACAATTTCTGAAATGCAATCTGTTGAATTGCAGGAGAAGGGGTTAAGGATAGCTTGGCAATACAAGAAATACTTTGGTGAACAGCAGCAAAATTTTGGGGTTCATATGGGTATGCTCCTTTAGAATTATGTTTTCCTCGCCTAAGGCTGCATACTCTTTTACTTCCAGTTACTTTTTCTTAGATAGTTTTGCGAAACTACATGGAGGGAGGGAGAATTTTATATAGTTTTGATTGCTTACATAAACCCTATATTAATTTTGGACAAGGCCATGCAGTGATATCTGTAATGAAATGTCTTTAAGAAATATGTGTGTGTGTACACATTTTTTGGAGGCAGGTAATCATTTCTAAATATAAGACACGAAGCGTTGAGTACTTTTTGAGGTACAGATAGCCTAAATAATGAATGGAAGATGTTGCTACATGACATAGTTAAGCACATAATTTGATCAGTTAGCTCCACATGTTAGCATGCCATCGATGGTGGACTCTATTCAGCAACTTTATTGGAGGTAATTAATATAGGATATTCAAGGTAGAACACCCTCCAATTGAAGTTGGTATTCTCACCCCATTTATTCTAGGCTAAGCATGCCAGAATCAACCTTTGGGACCCATTTTGTTGGTTTAATAGGAATTCAACCCATTGGCATTCCCCCAGCGTGCCTTCCTATTGGAAATGGCTTGGATTGATTAACAATTATGTATTTACATTTTCAACTAAACTTGGGGACACTTCCCCAAGGTTTTATTTGACTAGTTAGGCTCACCCTAGATCAATCTTTAGAGAGTGAAAGTCCAATTTGTTAAAATTCCTATCAAAGTGTCAAGACCTTATTCCTTCATACAAGTGTATGTATTTGCATTTTGACACTGCACTTGGGGCATTCTCATTCATGGTTTTCTTGGCCTGATGAGGTTCGCCCAGATCAGTCTTGTAGAGAATGAGGGTACAGGTTGCTCAAATTCCCATCACAAGTTGCAGGAACTTACTCCTGCATGAAAGTCTATCCTGATGGAATAGCAGTATGATGCAGGACAAAGAGGAGTTGTTGAATGATAAGCAAGCTCTTGATGAACCAAGAAAATAACCTCAATCTAGAGACATATAACTCAAATTCAATATTCTGTATATTCAATCATTATTGGAAGCTTAAAGTCTGAATTACATCAATGCTAAATTTATAGAAAACTAGGACTCTGATTCTAATCAACTTCTATTTCCTAAAGATAATCTAAAGATAAATCCTAAACTATAGCAAACTCCTAATAGACCAAAATTCTTTGAAGATAAATAATTTAATAGCATCAAATATAATAAGTGCTGAATAATTAAAGCTTCATCCTTATTATGCACCACAGTATGTAGGCTTCTCTGTCCGGATTTCTCACCTCTGAGGAGTAGGATGTTTTTACACTTTGTTGACTAGGGATCAATAAAGAGCAAAATGCTTTTTCCTGTTGCTGATTTGGTACCATGTGGCATCAGAAGCTTCACCATATGATTGGGGCATGACATTGCCTAGAAGTCTTTTCAAGGCTTTTAGATTATTTATTTACTCTCCTCCAGTACTTCCTTCTTCTAGTCATCAGGTCACACTTTGAAGAGCTAACTGCGCTGAACGGCCATCATTTTTGAGAGTAGCTCTGGTTATCTATATAGGAGTCAGTGGTTCACAAATAACTAGATCAGTTTAAACTGTAGCTCAACTATTATGTTTTTTATATTATATTCCCTTTTAGTCTTTATAAGTTCTCTCAAGCATTTTCAAATCATTATTCAAGTTGACTTTCCTACAAGAATGCAAATAATTTTTCAGTGATGGTGTCCTTACCTGTTATTCCTCCTCTTTGTGGTTTTTTGGTAGATGGAAAACTTGATTACTCCAATGATTTTGACTTGAGGAAGCCACTAGATAGACACTTCCTTGGCAACCAGCATATTGATTGCATTAGCCTTCAAGGTTCCCCGGATCTTTCCACTTTCTGTGACCGCTGTTCGACCTTTCTTGCCCAGCTTGCAAGGTACTCTTGCTTTTTTTTATTGGTTAAGATGTGCTTGATGCATTTTGACTCTGGTCTGATTTTTAAAGGGTCATGGCTGCTTATTTATTCATTTTGACAAGATATGTATGCCATGGATAAGTGAAAAGATTATTGGCATTATTAAGTTTTCTTGTAGAAATATGTAGAATAGGAATACACGATAGGATATATCTTTAGGAATATTGTCATTGATTTTCATTTATTTTCCTTCCTTATTTGTATATTCTATTTTCCTTTCTTGTACATCCTTTAGTATTATAAATACATAATCAGAGGACAGTGAATTTACACTGACTCATTCACAATTTAGGGTTTCTCATGGTTGTTTCTTCACATGGTATCAGAGCCTAACGTGTGAAACCCTAATTTCTAAATTTTATTTTATTTTATTTTATTTTTTTTTTCCTGCCGTTTTTTGGTTGCCACTGCGCGACTGTTCTCTTGGAGGAGTCTCTTTGACTTGTCTTCCCTCGTCACGAGCCTTGTCACTGTACTCGTCGGCCACCAATCTACCCTCTGTCTGAACTGCGCCGCCATCGGAGTTACCACGCGCCGCCGCAGCATAGCATTTTTCGACGCGCGTGACTGCACGCGCCACCTGCTTTCGGTTTCTTCTTCCTCCGCCGGCGTCGGTTCTCCATTCCGACTCCACCCAGAGTGTTTTTCAGAAGATCTGAGCCACGTCGAACCACCTCTGAAGCAGACCCGAACCAGGTCTGATAGATTCGCGCAGATTCCTCTTACGGCAATCGTCTCTCTCACTGAGGGTCCTTTCCGGCTGTCATTCTCTTCGCCGGTGCTACCTCTCTCACTGGTGGTCCTTCCCGGCTTCTCCTCGCCAGTGCTACATTCTGCTTGATCCGAACCAGATCCGAACCAGGTCTGCTTGATCCGTGTAACTCCCTTTTTCTGGTGATAGTCTCCCTTGCTGGTGGGCCTTCCTGGCTGTCATTCTTCTTGCCGGTGCTACCTTTTGGATCACGACACCCTCAGTCCACATCTGCAGATTATCTTGCCCTTTCTGGTCAGATTTTAGGTTTTCTCCTTCATTGGTCAGATCTGCTCCTTCTTAAACCTTGCAATTTATTAAGTTTTAATCATGTCTATTTTACCTTCGGGCAAGTCTGCTATATTTACTTCAGCCATCCCCAGTCCTCCGGTCATTACTACCGAGCCTCTTAATGGTGCAAATTACTTGCGTTGGGCCTCTGCAGTTGAACTTTGGTTTAAAGGCCAACGCTATTCTGACCACTTAACAAAGAAGGTTTCAGATATTTCAGAAACTGATAAAGACAACTGGGAAGCCATTGATGCTCAGTTATGTAGTCTCTTGTGGAATACTATAGATCGTCAGCTTATTGATCTTTTTCGTCCCTATCAAACATGTTATGAGGTTTGGGAGAAAGCCAAGTTGTTATACACGAATGATATTCAGCGGTTTTATGAAGTCATCTTTGATCTAATCAATCTTCGACAACAAGATCAGCCCATGTCCACTTATTTGGGGTATATTCAAGGTGTTCGATCCAAGTTTACCAAGCTTCTTCCAGTCACTTCAGATACTGCCACCCAAGAATCCAATTATGATAAATTCTTCATGCTTCTTACTTTGGCTGGATTATCTTCAGATTTTGATTCCATTCGTCAACAGATATTGGCTAGTTCTTCCATTCCTACCATGGAGGATGTCTTTGCTCGACTACTTCGGATCACACAACCTATACCTCATTCAGCTACTTCTATTGGCGATTCCTCAGTTTTGGCTTCTCAGAGTGTTGGTTCTACCAATCAAAGGCGAAGTAAAGGTCAACGCCCTCAGTGTACTTATTGCCATAAGATGGGTCACACTCGTGATCGATGCTTTAAACTCCATGGCCGACCACCCCGTGCTGCCAATATTGCTCAGACTGATATTTCTTCTCCTGAGGTGCCTACTGTTACTATTCCTACTGCTGCATATGAGAGTTATCTTGCCTATCAGGCTGCCCAGTCATCTGCCTCTGCTACTACTGCCTCTGCTGCCCAGGATGGTAATTCCATTGCTTGCCTCACTCAATCTTCTATTGGTCCTTGGATCTTGGACTCAGGTGCTTCTGATCATATTTCTGGTAACATCACCTTCTTTTCCAATCTTCGCAGTCCCCAGTCTCTTCCTATGGTCACTTTAGCTAATGGTTCACAAACTATGGCTAAAGGTCTAGGTCATATTCGTCTTCTACCTTCTTTAACTCTTCACTCTGTTCTTTATGTTCCTGGTTGTCCTTTTAATCTTATTTCTATTAGTAAACTAACCAATTCCCTTAATTGTTCCGTTGTCTTTGATCATACCTCTGTTCTTGTACAGGACCGGGATACGGGACAGACGATTGGCGAAGGGCGTGAGTCTCAGGGGCTTTATCATCTTACATTGCCTTCTCATGCCGCCTTCACAGCCGCCGCTTCACCCTCTCTTCTTCATAATCGATTGGGTCATCCTAGTCTTTCCAAGCTTCAAAAGATGGTTCCTGGTTTGTCATCCTTGCCGTTGTTAGAGTGTGAGTCGTGTCAGCTTGGCAAACATGTCCGTTATTCGTTTCCCAAGCGAGTCAATAATCGGGCTGCGTCCCCTTTTGAGTTAGTTCATACAGACATTTGGGGTCCTAGTCGTGTTCCTACGACTTTCGGTTATCAGTACTTTGTGACATTTATTGATGATTTTTCTCGATGTACTTGGTTGTTTTTAATAAAAAGTCGTGCTGAGATTTTTTCGATTTTTCAAACGTTTTGTGCTGAGATTCGTAACCAATTTCATACTTCTATTCGCACTCTACGCAGTGATAATGCCCGTGAATATTTTTCTTCTTCTTTCACTTCATTTATGTCTTCACAGGGTATTCTTCACCAATCTTCATGTGCCCATACACCTTAGCAAAATGGTGTAGCTGAACGTAAAAATCGACATCTCATTGAAACCACACGCACTTTACTTCTTCATCATCATGTTCCTTTGCGTTTTTGGGGTGACGCTGTTCTCACTGCCTGTTATTTAATAAATCGTATGCCTTCATCTGTGCTACACAATCAAACTCCAGTCTCTTTGCTATTTCCATCTACTCACTATATTCTCTTCCTCCTCGTATTTTTGGTTGTGTTTGCTTTGTTCATAATCTCACCCCAGGACAGGACAAACTTCACCCAAAATCTCTCAAATGCATATTCCTTGGCTACTCTCGTCTTCAGAAAGGCTATCGCTGTTATCATCCTGATAGTAATCGCTATATCATTTCTGCAGATGTTACCTTTTTCGAGGAGTCTTCATTTTTCCCCTTTTCACTTGAAAGCTCCTCTGTGTCTGATGTTCTTCCAGTTCCTTTACTTGGACCTCTTGTTGAAGCTGCTCCTGCTCGTCCTCTTCAAACTTATTCACGTCGACCGCGTCCTGACTCTTCTGTTGGTGCCCCTGCAGATTCTCGCCCGGATCCTGCGCCTTTACCGGTCTCGGTTCTTCCTCCTGATAGTCCTCCTATTGCTCTTCGCAAAGGTAATCGCTCTACTCGGAATCCTCATCCTATTTATACTTTTTTGAGCTACCATCGCTTATCTTCTCCATATTTTGCTTTTGTTACCTCGCTATCTTCTGTTTCCATTCCTAAAAGTCCAGGGGAAGCTCTATCCCATCCTGGTTGGCAACAAGCTATGTTAGATGAAATGGCAGCCTTACATTCCAGTGGCACTTGGGAACTTGTTCCTCTTCCTCCTGGCAAGTCCACCGTTGGGTGTCGATGGGTTTACACTGTGAAAGTTGGACCTAATGGGCAGATTGATCGCTTGAAAGCACGACTCGTAGCCAAGGGTTACACACAGATTTATGGATTGGATTATGGTGATACTTTCTCCCCTGTCGCTAAGATTGCCTCTGTTCGTCTTCTCCTAACCATGGCCGCCATGCGACATTGGCCTCTTTTCCAACTTGATATCAAGAATGCATTCTTACATGGTGAGCTTGCCGAGGAAGTCTATATGGAGCAACCTCCTGGTTTTGTTGCTCAGGGGGAGTCTAGCTTAGTCTGTCGTCTACGCCGATCTATTTATGGTTTAAAACAGTCTCCACGAGCATGGTTTGGGCGATTCAGCTCAGTAGTTCAACAATTTGGTATGATTCGCAGTGAAGCAGATCATTCTGTGTTTTATCGTCATTCTTCATCCAATAAAAACATTTATCTCGTGGTGTATGTAGATGACATCGTTATCACAGGAGATGATGAAGAAGGTATCAATCAATTAAAACAACATCTCTTGTGTCACTTTCAGACTAAGGATTTAGGTCGATTGAAGTATTTTCTTGGTATTGAGGTGGCTCAGTCATCAACTGGTATTGTTATTTCTCAGAGAAAGTATGCTCTGGATATCTTAGAGGAGACTGGCTTGACAGATTGTCGACCTATAGACACTCCTATGGATCCTAACATCAAACTTCTACCAGGACAGGGAAAACCTTTGTCAAATCCTGGGCAGTATCGGAGACTTGTTGGAAAATTGAACTACCTAACCATAACTCGTCCAGACATTTCCTTTGCTGTAAGTGTAGTTAGTCAGTTTCTACAGTCTCCATGTGATAGTCATTGGGATGCTGCAATTCGAATTCTTAAATATATCAAAGGGGCACCTGGCCAAGGACTCCTCTATGAGGACAAAGGTTATTCTCAAATCATTGGTTACTCAGATGCAGATTGGGCCGGATCACCCTCGGACAGACGATCGACTTCAGGCTATTGCATAATGTTTGGAGGCAATCTAATTTCTTGGAAAAGTAAGAAGCAGAATGTGGTTGCTAGGTCAAGTGCGGAAGCTGAGTATCGTGCCATGGCATTGGCAACATGTGAACTTATATGGCTTAAACAATTGCTTCAGGAATTGAAATTTGGAGATATTAAGCAAATGCAATTGATTTGTGATAATCAAGCTGCCTTGCACATTGCTTCTAATCCAGTGTTTCATGAAAGGACCAAACATATAGAAGTTGACTGTCACTTCATCAGAGAAAAGATTCAATCTGGATGCATTGCTACTAGATTTGTCAGTTCCAATGATCAGTTAGCTGATGTATTCACTAAGTCACTCAGGGGATCTCGGATTACATATCTATGTAACAAGCTTGGTGCATATGACTTGTATGCTCCAGCTTGAGGGGGAGTGTAGAAATATGTAGAATAGGAATACACGATAGGATATATCTTTAGGAATATTGTCATTGATTTTCATTTATTTTCCTTCCTTATTTGTATATTCTATTTTCCTTTCTTGTACATCCTTTAGTATTATAAATACATAATCAGAGGACAGTGAATTTACACTGACTCATTCACAATTTAGGGTTTCTCATGGTTGTTTCTTCACATTTCTTTTCCTTCATCTTCTTTTGCTGGTCATGAGCAGGCAGGTTTGGGAAGGGGGTGTGGGAAGTGGGAGAATTTTAGTTGTATGATTTAGTAAATTTATTTAAGTGAATATTACTAAGAGAATTTGAGGTCCAGCATATTCCAATCATTACAACTCAGCTTCCAAGGTGCTATTGCTTTCTTTATTGATTGAAATGTGCATGTTTGCTTGTTTTTGATTTTGATTCTTGGTCCTCTGAAGTGCCAATGAAGCATATTTCTTCATTTATGCAAGATAAGTTTGTGCTTTTCTTTAGAGGAAAGAAAGTATGGAAAAGTGAATGTCATTTTACCATTACTAGTTTTTCTTTTCTCCTTTCATTCCCCAACCCCAATTTGGTGGGGCGAGGGGTGTAAAGGGAGGAAATTGGAGCAGTATAATCTATTAAGTATCATTCATGAGATAATTTGTCCAACTGAATATGGTTGCCACAGTTATGGATATTGAATTTCTCCTTGTTAAAATGGTTGAAAAGTTATTAAGCTCCTACTTTTTGCAACACATGGAAAGGTGGAAGGCTAATACAATTCACTAGGTAGTGAGCTATACTTCATGCATATAGCTTTATTTAAAACAGCTTCAATGATACCAGGAAACATCTTCCTTGCTTTTTTCATTCCAAAATTTTCATCTGTTTTTCAATAGTAAAAGAATTAGCTGAGTAATTTGACAAAAGATGCTTAAATTTTATACAATGTTTCATTTTGCTGTAATTTGTTACTCTCGTTTGATGATTCTAACCTTAGATTTTGCATCATTAGCATAATTCTTTAAACTGCATGTGCTGGTTAACTCTTTGAGATAGAATTTCCTCAGTTTCTTATGGTCCCACATAAGGATTAGCTGTAACTTTTCATAATCTTATTGTTTATGATTCCCTTCTGGTCAATACAGATAGTAAAACCATCATTATCCATAATTTTCATATTAACAAGGACTAGATTCCTTAAATGTCATTTTTTCAAGTTGCTTTATTGGCTTTATTTATCCTCTTGCTCATATGTGATTACTAATTGCAATCTATTTTATGTATCTGTGTGAATTTTATGAATATGGTGTTACAATGTATTCTTTCCTTCCACAGACATGATGACAGCATAACATGTGCTGGTCGTATTGCCATTCAATCATTTTATTCTCCACAATGTGAATATTCCAACATGGTTGGTGCCAAATAAATTCTGATTTATTTTGTTACTAGGTTCTTCTACTCCTCTCTTCTGAACCTTCTGAATGATTTCCTTATCTAAGTCCTCAAAACTTTTTATAAAACATCACTTTTTATTAAAATTGGTTCCATCTTTTAACACTTGTTTAGTGGTTTGTATGTTATCCTACAAATATTGTTAACATTATTTCTACACATTCGTAGGAATGGGAAATGCTTTCCTGCATCAGATCTTTGAAAAGCATGCTGGGGTCTTCAAATGCAGTTGCTGTTATAACTTTCCCTCCATCTCTGATTTTACCATCCTTCTCAAAGAGGTGGCAGCATTTGGCTGACATCTTACTCTCTATCAAAGCAATCCCAGGTAAACTCTTGCTTCTTGGCATTGTGTACTATGTGTAATAGTAACATTGATTAATATGTTATATAATTGGAAATTGATGTGTGAAACAGATGAGGACAAGGATTTATCTAATCTCCTCACTGGTTACCAAGATATGTTTGGCCTTCTTAATGTGCATAAAGTGGCTCGTTTCAATACTCAGGTAAGGTTTAATTGGATCTTCGGCTAATTATATACATTGATTGGTGATAGTTTCTTGGCACTTCTAGTGCAAACCTCCGTGTAAATGTCCATCCGGGCTTGCTTGTTTTCTCAATGGCACATTTCTCCTGCCTATCAATATTAGGTTGAATAAATGATAATAAATATTTGTGTAGTTTTATATTAAGCCTGCTGTTCTAGACCTTAATCCATTGTTTTTCTCTAATCTCATTTACGAAACACCAACCGTGTTCAGCTCCATTGACAAGTTTGGGATTTGCAGAGTAGTTATACATATTGTTTCTATGCAGTTCTTATTATCTTGCAGCGAGTTGAATCTTTTTCTATCTTGTCCGCAGGTCCCATTTATTCTGGATGCAACCACATTCTCAATGAAGCTCAAAAAACGAAAATCATTGATTTTAGAATGTCTAAATCAAGCCCCGTAGACGGTTCAAGTGGGAGTTCTTATGGCACTTCTGGTAGTTGTTCTGGCTCCTCCAAGGCAGGGAAACTCGATTTTTAATCATTTTGACATGTGGCTGAATTTCTCCATTCAAGACACTCGACTGTTCAAAATTACAACACCAGCTCAGGGTCCTTCATTGGGAGCGTGAAACAAGTTTGTGCCTTTTTATGATAATTTAAATGGTCTCCAATCACGTGCCAGTTTTTGCTACATGATACAAGTTTTGGTGTAGGAAAGAAAATGGGGGTTGCAACATTATTTATATATATTCTTTCACTTCATCGTCTTGTTTTGAAGAATTGAAGAGCATTACTTACGTGGAAGGGAAGTGTTAAGGTCTAGAGGCTGCTAGTACTTGTATGTTTAGCCACAAAAATTGTGGTATAGTCAGACTTAAGTTTTCCAGCTCTTTCTTTTGTGGTTGCTGAGTTTGTATGAGCAATATGAGCTGATCAAGTTACTGTCATACCATTCATAAGTCGCTTGCTCTTAATCTCTGGCATAAATGTTTAATAGAAAATATTTAACCATTAATACCGATTTCTCATATCAGCAGAGTTCCGGGTCCAATTGTTTACATCGGTCAGGCCTTAAGTAATCCTCCGTAATCTCCAGGAAATAAATTATTTCTTTAGGAATGTCTCTTTTTGGTCACCCTTCCGATATGTATCTCAATTTATCCTCTAAAATTTCTTTCTTTTGTTAGTCCTTCAATTGACAATTAGTCAATCATGGAAAACAGGGATTTATTTAATTAAAAGGAGACATAAGACACAAAGATACTTCGCAGCACAAGTAGCCTAAGCCAAACCACACCGAACATAAAAGCATTAGACAACTCATCATTCTCCATCAGCAACCAACATGACTCCCTGCAACAAGACCAAATCCAGGAAGCACAAGGCCGAGGCTAGGCAGTTTTCAAAGTGTTGCCAATGTCAATGACAAATCGATATTTAACATCCGCTTTAGCCAGGCGCTCCATTGCAGTATTCACATAGTCCATTGGAATGACCTCAATGTCAGCCGTGATGTTATGTTTTGCTGCAAAATCAATCATTTCTTGCGTCTCCTTCATTCCACCAATCCCACTTCCACCTACCATCTTCCTTCCTGCCAACCCAAATCCCATATATTTCAATCTATAAATTGGTATCAGATAGCCAAACAGGGCTAGCAGTAGTTATGTTTTTTCGTCTTTTTGCTCTCCCTGGCTTAGAGATGGGCTGCACAGCCTTCTCTCTCTCTTTTATTCAAATAAATAGTTACTAGAACCACTCAAGTATAAAATGATAACTCTCTCGTCCGTTAAGTTTTTACCTTAATATAAAAGAGAGGAGAAAGAGATGGGCTGCCATCTTCAAAGGGTTCAAGATAAAGGGCACTTGGGTTGTAAATTAGTGGACACCATCCTTGTGATGGTGTTCTGGATGGCGAGGTTGTGAAGAACACATGGGTTAGTTTATTAAGATCCAAAGTTAAAGTTTCATAGGTTGTTCATTTTTGTGTATTTTTGCTTCTGTATAGGTCTATTTTGGTAAACTTACCCATAATTAGAGAAAATGAAGGCAGCTCAAGAGGTTTTTCAGGCACACCAACCAGGATGAGCTTTCCATTATTCTTCAAAAGACCAAGTAACGGCATGATAGGATGGAGAGCAGAAACAGTGTCAATGATTCCATCCAAAGTACCCATGGCAGCCTGCAATACAACATTAAATTCGCTACACAGGAAGAACGTCCATAATTGAGAACAGAGACGGGAACAAGAACCATACCTGCATTTGGTCAGGGTCCGTGCTGACCAGAAACAAATCAGCACCAAGACGATCAATGGCTTCCTCTTTCTTGCGAGGAGATGTACTGATCACAGTCACCTTAGCTCCAAAAGCCTTGGCAAACTTCACGGCTACATGGCCCAGCCCACCTAGACCCACCACTCCTACACTCATACCCGGTTTGTCAAGTCCATAGTACCTCAGGGGACTGTATGTGGTGATTCCGGCACAAAGGAGAGGCGCACAAGCATCAAGGGGTATATTTTCAGGAATTCGAACCACATAGCGCTCATTAGCAACAATATGATCGGAGTAACCTCCATATGTTATGGTTCCATCATAGTATGGGCATTGTAGGTGAGTATCATCTTTTGACAGTAATTTTCAAGGTCATTATTGCAGCTGTCACAAGAGTGACATGCTCCAACCATGCAACCTATTCCTACCTTGTCTCCAACTTTGAACTCTGAACCTTGCTACCCACCTCTGTCACTGTACCCACAATCTCATGTCTGTGGAGATTAAACAAATTCATGTGTTCAGTGCCAATCATCTTAATACAAATTAGTAGAAATTAAACATTCTTTCAGTCATTTGTTACACTGTCACACTGCTCAGATAGGAGTCAAAAAATCATAGTTGTTGATTTTACAAGGGGAAGGACAAACTCAGGAAGTACAGATTTTTCATTTGATTCTCTATCTACTTTTGTAAGATCTGAGCAGTCAATATTCATTAGTTAGAACAATTTATTGAACTTAATATTATTTAATACTGATCTTTCAAAAGTTTTATATTTGATGAGGATCCCTTTGAGTTAAGGCCCGAATCCCAATAGATAAGAATCCTCTGGGCACAGTGCAAAGGTGTGCTCTAATATCAACCTGGTTCTGCTGGGTTCAGAGTGGAAAATATGGGTCAATGACCTTAAACTTAAGGGCGGATCAGCATGTTTGGGTCGGATAGCAAATTACTACCTCTAGTGACCCATTGAACCTAACACCTAGCTGAACTTGAGTGACAAACCAAGACTGCTTAAACACAATTAAGTAGTCATTCTTACTAGTTCCACACGTGATGTAATTATTCATAACACAACTTATTTGGCGCGTCATAATTCATCTTAGAAAATGACAGGAATAGCTTGACCCTTCTCTTCCTTCCTTCTCTTATCCTTTATTCATCAGGTTTGCAGTTGATATTTTACCAGAATTTCAGAGACAACAACCTAAAGAGAAAGTTTTCACACTCTACTGAGAGCCATCTGTTTAAATTGGAACGATCGGATGAAAAACACACAATAACATGTTTGGGTAATTTTATTTCTGTCTATCATCATCGTCATCGTCATCTCATGTATATAGGAAGGTAGACAGGGTTGAAAGATACCCGGGAACGATGGGATAGACGGAGATGCCCCACTCGTTCTTGACACCGTGAAGATCAGAGTGACAGATCCCACAATACAAGATCTTTAGCCTCACGTCTTCATCTCCAGTCTCTCTGCTCCGCCAAACAACAAAACCGAACAAAAGTCACTTAGCTGCATCTGATCAACAGATCACTAGCTGCAAACTAGAACAAAATGACGAAAGTTTACCTTCTGGAGAAGTTGAAGGGAGACAAAACTCCCGACGTGTCTCTAGCCGCCCATCCGGAGGCCTTCACTGGGTGCTCCGCCTCCGGCAACTTCGCCATGGCCAAGCTCTTCGACTTAGAGAGGGAAAGAAAGGAAGTGCACAGAGGAGAACGCAGTCTAAAGAAATCTAGAACGGTTGATTGGGTGTCAGGTGCTTTTAATTATATAAAAATAACATAGTAGCAAAGAAAATTGCCAGTCTTCTGTGTCCAATGTACACGGAGGGAACCCAAGCTCTTGCTTTTCCTCTGCCTTTTTCTTCCCTGGAAAGTCAAATTATAGGCTCCACTTGGGATAGATGCGTGATTTAAATTTATCATGTTTTTCAGATTAAATTTAAACAATTTAAATTATACCAATTTTAATTTGTTATCTTAAGGTTAAACTCGCTAGCAACCCCTTAGAATCGACCTACCCTAGCAAAATAAAGGAATCAAAATTCACTTTGTAGAAAACAGTAGCCTTTTAATTTGTTCTTTAAATAAATATTTCGTAACTATTTTGGGTACTTTACAGTAAAAATAATTTGGATAAAGCTTTAAAAATACTAGATCTATTATAAAACTTTTTAGTCTAAGTTTGATTTATAAGTTATGGCTGACTAAAAAATTAGCATTTGATTTAATTTATTGGTAAAATTGATAGAATTTAACTAATTTATAATTTATAAATCGGATATATTTAAATTATAAAAATATATACATGTATCTTATATATAATTGATTATATCAATCTATTTGTTATGTTTATAAGTTAAATCAACCATTATTAAGTCAAATCAAGTCAAATTAATTATTATAAAATTAAGTGTATAAATAATAAGATTTAATTTCTTAATTTAAATTTTAATTTATGTCTAAATAACCTGAATTAAATTAAACTAAAATAGGCCAAACACAAACTGTTTTATATTCATCCTCATTTATCACATATCTTTTTGTAATTATAATATTTAAAAATATATAAATTATTTAATTTCAAAAAAATTTGCATTTGTAATTAAACAGCACGTGTTACATCATCCTGAATTATTTATGTATGCATAACGATACAACGTTGATTGGTTTGACCAATTTGGTAGTAGGCCAATTGCTGACATCATGGGTTAGTTCAGTAAATAATTTTTTAAAATAAATTATTTATTGGCGGAATCGGCCGGTCCAATTGGTTACAGCGCCGTGGAAGTAGGTAAGGGGTGTTCGTACGAATAAGAGTTTATTTTAAATAAAAAAAACTTTTAGAATTTTATAATGTAAAAGTAGGTGCAAAGGTTTTTCTAGAATGACGGCTCTTTTTGTGGTTTAAATAATTATAAATTTTAAACTAGAAATTTCAAAAAATTAATTAATTTTTTATTTAAAAAATTTAAAAGTCATAATCACCAAATATTATTACACTATAAATTTCATTGTTATTCTCCTAAATTTAAATTAAAAATAAGTATTATACTAGTTTCTCAAATTAAAAATGTGACATTTATATTTTCTCGAGTTTAATATAAATTATAGTATAATTTTTAAATCACTTTTCGGTCATGAAAAATATTTTCATTAAAACTCAATTTATCATTAAAAAAAAGGATAAAAAATGAAAAAAAAAAATTCAATCATAAAAGTTAAGAAAAACTCAATTTATCATTAAAAAAGGGTAAAAATGAACAAAGAACAGAGCTCCGAGTTTTTCATTCTTTTGTGCTATAATCACCTTCCGCATACACAAATCTCAATTGCCTAGCTCCCCTATCCATTTGTCAGCTCATCCTAGCACTGAGAGATCTTTGTTGAGATCTCTGAAGCTAACCATGTTCATGTGCTAATAATAATAAAAGCTAACAAGTAGACGAGGGGTGGGGCAATTGATTTGTACATATGAAAGTTAATTATTGTATAGAAAAATGAAAGACACGAAGTGTTTTATTTTTTCTTTTTGATTCATTTTTTTACTTTTTTTTTTTTAATGACAAATTTACTTTTATTAACTTTTAAGTACGATGTTCAAGTGACTAAAAAATTACCGATCATTAATCAAAAAGTAGTTTAAGATATTATATCAAAACTTATATTTTAGAGATTAACATGACAATTAAATTAAATTTAAGGGGTGAATACTATTTACCCATTGTTTTAGGAGTTGATTAATTGGGAGTTTTAAAGATGATAAGTTCTAAAATTTCAAAATACCAAACAATCCTTGATTAAAAGTTTCATTGGTGTCTTGGAATCTACTTTGACAGGTTGGAAGACTCGGACCCTCAATTCCTGTTTTCGGTAAATACTTTTATGATGTGTTTATTTGTCAGACAATATTGGAATACTTCATTTCCCAACCACCAGCAATTGAGTTAATGCTATTGAGTTGTAGGACTTTGGAGACGAGGATGGTCCCTGCATTTCATTAATTGTCTTTAAAGTTTGGTGAGGTGATGATGACCCACCAAGAAAGGAAAAAGAATAAAAGTTTGTTCACTTGGTCGAGATTTTTCATGAATTTTGGATTTTTTAAATAAATTTTAAAAATCTGGGTTAGTTTTAAATTTTTTGAAAAAAAATAAGATTTTTACTTCTAAATGATTACTTATGGAAATTTCACAAATTATTTATAGTGGAAAATATATCATTCAAAGAAAGAAAAATACAACTTATTGGCTAGCCAACACCTCCACTCCAATTTCAATTCTAATATTTTATATATCTAGTTTAATAAAGTTAAATATTTTATAATTTACAAATAATTTCAACTCTTTTTTTTTTCTGCGAACAACAAGTTAAGTGTTATTTCTTAAAACTTGAAACAACTTTGAAATCACAACACCAAATCTACACAAGTTTTTTGAAAAAAAAATATTTCAATTTAGGTACTGGAAAAATTAATAAATTGACAAAATATGGACAAAAAAAGAAACTTTTCAATTAAATTTTCTGAAATATTTTTGTAGCAAAGGGTGAATAAATCTTAATAAATCATGTAGGTAAAATCACAATTTTTACATGTCACATACATAATTACTTTTTAAAATTAAATTTTTAGGTTTGTGTACTACCAATTGCCGCAATTTTCAAACCTCGATTTTTGTGTGAAGATTCCTTTATTGAGGAGAATAATTAACCACCATTAAGTTTTAGATCCTACGTTAATGCAAATACTAATGACAGTCACATTTTATCTTTGATGTACACTTCAGACCATCTTTGGTGGGGTCAAATTTGGAAAATAAGCACTCCCCGGACCAAATAGAAACTCAAGTAAAATCAACGGCAACTATTAATGTAATTAACTTTTTTCTAGGGTGCCGTAAATAAAATTCTAAATTTAACATCATATAAATATTTTATAAATAATTAAATTACATATATAAACTTACTCAGTGATAAGAATTTAATCGATAAATAATGATTTTGTAAGCTAATAAATAATCTTTCAAATATATATATATATATATATAATTTCAATTGGTCAGAAATTTTGAATATCAAATAAAATATACAGGGAGAGGGAGATGGGATTTGAACCCCAAGCTTGAGGGGAATTTGTAGAATCTTTCTTTCATTTGATTGCATTTCAAGTATTTCAACTGTGAGCTACTGCATTTCATCATTGGTTTTCTAACTCATTTTCTCGACAGCGAAACAAAGCTTGGTGGCGTCTTTTCAATCTTTTCTTCTTGCTTTTTCTTTTGCGTTGTTAAGACACACATTGTTTCATGTCTTATCCACCTTTTCTTTTGTCTCCTCTTTGCCTCTATCTCTTCCCCTCTTCTCTTATCTTGGCACATGCATACTGGTTGTACAATGTATTTGATATCCACCGAGAAAGTTGAGTAGTCTCATTTCTCTCGTCTCTCTAGTTTCATTCAATTTATTTCAGATGGTAACAGAGCGTTAAGTTTTTTTTTTGTGGTAATCTCTTTGCTTCCCTGCCACCTCGCTGTCACCATTGCTGATCTTCATGATGTTGTTTTCATCTCTATGGCTCTACTCTTTTTGTCATTCTTTAAATTTTGAAGGACGACAAAGTCTTTTCCAGCAAAGACCCCATATCTCGAATTTGCAGTCAAAGATCACTGCACGCTCTCGCATGAGCCACCACGGGAGTATCAATCTTCCTTTCACGCGCCGGCAGCCTCTACACATGAAGAAAACCTCTGGAAATTTGGGGCTGACATAATTCTCCCGTCAGCACACTAGTCAAACGTAGTTCTTTCAACTGACTTGAATGACACCATTTCATCAGAAGCCGTATTAGCAATTGAAACGGTGCAGGCTTTTCTTTTCTACCTCGATTTTCTTTACTGGTTGAGCCGGTTGAACCGTTCTCACTGGTTCAACCCGGTTCTGGAATTTTTTAAACTGCTCAACCTATTCCTACTAGCTTACCACCGGTTTAGCCCAGTTCTTGCTAGTTCAATCCAGTTCTCACTACTTTTAGCTTAGTTCTTGCTTGATCAAGTCGATTTTAGTCTTGATTTTCACAACTTTCAGCTTGGTTCGTGCTGGTTCAAACTTGGTTCTTTCTGGTTCAGTTCAATTTATATAGTTTTCAGCTTGGTTCTCAAAGTTTCAGTCCCATTTTTTGCTTCAGCATTGGTTCCCAAGGTTTTACAATGCGTTCTCTCCATTTCTAATCTTAGCACTGTCAAATTCAATCTCAACTTGTTGCTTTTGGTGTACTGGTTGATCCTTCTAAGTAGTTTTTGTAGTTATACAACCATTACTGCTTATTATGAAGGAAATTAATTAAAGTCTGTTATCTTATTTCTACCATATCCGAGACTCAATAAATGAAAATTTTCTTAGAACGTCATCGCTTGCGGAAAGCAGTTAGTGGCGATCTCCCTACACCTATTAAAATCACAAATAAAACAATCGAAGTTTTAGCTGATCGCATAGAAGAGGGGAAGAGATTAAGATGTAGGAGAAGAGATAGAGGGGAGATGAGAAAAGAGAGACAAGATATAAGACAACATCTTAACATCCTCACCATGTTTCAATATGTTTTCATTTAATTTGCCACATGTTATTCAGCACGAGAGCAGCCAGAGCTCCGGTGAAAGAAGGTGATTGAAAATACATGCATATGTTTGCAATCAATATTTGACCAATTAAGAACAAAAACCTTGCGGAAAGCTAACAAAACCTTAAATATCCTTTAGATCTCTCTTATTGTATAAGCACTTTGGGCATCCTACTCACTTACCAACTGGCAGAGGTGCAACCCAGTATACTTCAACGGGAGGGGACATATAACTGAAGCGTAATCTCCAAGTGCTACTTTGCAAGATCAGGCATCCTTTAGTTCTTCAAACTATTCCCTATATCTATTACAAATCGGTATCTAACATCAGCCTTGGCTAGACGCTCCATGGCAGTATTGACATATTCAATTGGAATAAGTTCAATGTCTGCTGTTATGTTGTATTTGGCTGCGAAATCAATCATTTCCTGTGTCTCCTTTATGCCCCCAATGCTACTCCCTGCCACTATCTTCCTCCCTGTCATCCAGCCACAGTTAGCCACCATGTCCACATGGAACGTTAAGATAGCCTCCACCAAATTATTAAAAGATCAAATGCTTAATTACCCATTAGCAGAGGAAAGATTGGAAGCTCAAGTGGCTTATCTGGTGCACCGACCATGATAAGTTTTCCATGAGACTTCAACAAGCCAAGCAATGCCAGTAGAGGGTGAGGTGCAGAGACAGTATCAATGATTCCGTCCATTGTGCCCATGGCTGCCTATATATATCCATCAGATCCAGAACATTAGTGCTACATTAGAAATGAAGTTCATGCTGCAGAAGTAAAGGAAATAGAAGGCCGAGGGCAAAGGGCAAAGAGACAAACATTTACCTCCATCTGATCTGGGTCACTGCTAACCAAAAATGAGTCAGCACCTAGACGCTCGGTGGCTTCCTTCATCTTTCCAGGGGAGGTGCTGATAACTGTAACTTTAACTCCAAAAGCCTTGGCAAATTTCAAAGCTAAATGGCCAATGCCACCAAGCCCAACCACTCCTACATGTAGGCCGTGCTTGTCAAGTCCAAAGTGTCTAAGAGGGCTGTAAGATGTGATTCCACCACATAGCAAAGGAGCACAAGCATCAAGAGGCAGGTTCTCAGGAAAGCGAATCACAAAGCTCTCATCGCATACCATGATGTCGGAGTAACCTCCGTACGTGGGATTTCCGTCATAGTGGGTACCATTGTGGGTTATTACCATCTTAGGACAGTAATTTTCAAGATCACTAGCACAATTTTCGCAAGAGTGACATGATCCGAGAAGGCCCCCAACTCCAACTCTGTCCCCAACTTTAAATTTCTGTACCTTGTCACCCACCTCTCTCACCACACCCACAATCTCGTGCCTGCATATATTACTCAATTGAATTGGCTGGTATCAGATTGTATTACTGCATTCTCATCTCTAAACATTTGAAAGAGTCATTTTCCATAACCAAGGTTCTATAATATTTTTGCAGTTTTCAGCCCACAACTGACACGGGTATACATAAATGATTGCAGTACAGAAGAATTACATACCCAGGGACGACGGGATAGTTGGTGGTGCCCCATTCATTCTTGATCTGGTGGAGGTCGGAATGGCAAATACCGCAATACAACACTTTAAACGTCACGTCCTTCTCTCCTGTTGCCCTGCATGCAATTCAAACTTTATATTTTAATCCAGAAACAGAGCCATGCAAGTTTCAGGCTGAAGAGTAGAAGGCATTACCTTCTGGAGAAATTGAACGGCGACAGGACGCCAGACGAATCCCTCGCTGCCCAACCAAAGGCCGTCACTGGGTATTGATTCTCCGGAGATTTCTCCATCACGGACCCGAACTAATAATCTGCAGAACAATAGTGAGAGAGAGAGAGAGAGAGTGGTCTGGAGGTTTCAGAGGGTGGCTAGCCTATATGTATAGGCAGAGTCTGACGTAATCGATGAGGTGGCATGATCCTCACTTCGGAGGTTGGGATTCTGTGGTCGACGGCCAATTTTATATGCCGACTGCAGGTATAAGTGGTGACGTAGTCCATGAGGTGTCTTGGGTCCATTCAGCCATTAAACTTCGATTTGGAAGCGTACATATTTGAAACCAGAAAAAACATTAAGCAGCAATTTGGTCACTAAACTCATGAATTCTTCCATTTTGGTCCCCAAAAAAAATGTATTACTAATTTGGTCCTTAAACTATAAAACTACTATAAGCAGTATTATTTCTGTTAAATATTTTCACGGTGTGTTGCTAGCAATGTTCCATTGAAATTTGTATTTGATTTTAATTTGGTCACCAAATTTCAATATTTATGAGAAGTTGATTTAAATCAAGCTAACATCTTATCACAATATTGACAAGAATGGGCACTGGGTACCATAACGAGGTTGAATAAAAACCACAGCCACAAAGAATCAAACAGATGGACGGCGTAAAGGAAATTTTAGATTTCAAATAGTTAAAAATTAAAAATTATGAAATTAGAGATAGAAGAAAGATAAAATATGAGATACAATAATTTATGTGATTTAGTATAATTAATTTTTATTTACAGATGATAATAATTATACTATTATAATGTTGAGTGGTCTCTCTCTCAATAAATATATATTATAGGCATATTAATATACAGCTGAAGAATTATGAAAAATTCTATATTTGTCAATATTCTAATATCTAATTCTAAATTTAATTTAATTTTTAATGAAATAGATAATATTCCTTAAAAATACTTCTTTTCTTGACATGGATGACAAAAACGTGGAGCAAAGAGATTATGTGGCTGCAAGTGGAAGAAAATATTACCATTAGAGCAGGACAACGTTAAAGCTGCAGAAAGTTGCGAGGGTGAAATATTTGCATTGTTGAATTTATACTCGAAAACAAAATCTTTGAGAGAGTTGTTGGGTAAGTTTTCATTTATCATTTGAATTTTTTCTTATTTTACTGGATATTAGTTAAATGAATTATCTTTTACATAATTTTTATTATCTTTTTTTTGATAAATAAATAGGGTATCCCCAGTTGTAGTGATAAAGTTTAACCCAATACTTTTTATATAAACTCAGTAACCCAATTGTTTTATTTTATTTTTTAATACAAATTTAGTACTCCAATTTTGTTATATTGAAATTTGGTTGAGTTGAAATCCATTTGAGAAGTTGAATAAGCGTTGACATAATTGACCTACCACTAAATGGAAAATTTTTAAATGTGGAGGCAGCTGGCCAATTTTATTTATAGTCAGGGAACAAAATAGAAAAGGAATCAAGAATTGGACAATCTTAGAACTATCAATAGATTGAATTTTTGTTCATATCAATGGATTGAATTTTCATTCATATTTGATCTGAATTTGATCTAAATTTTAGAATTAAAATTCAATTAAGGTATTTAATAAATCAAATGTAATTATAAATATATATAATTTAAAATATGTTGATCGAATAAGACATTAAATAGTCTAATTCTTTAAAAATTATAATTCGAGTTTTAATAATATTTTTAATTAAATTAATAATCATATATATAATATTATTAAAATTAAACTTATATTGAGTAAATTAGAGAAATAAAAAATTTAAATATGGAGTAGAATTGAGGAATTTAAATAAAAAATTATTATTTTCTAATCAGAATGAATTTTGTTGTTGTATTTTGAATTAGTCACCAAATTCAAACATCGATTAATAGTCACAAATTCTATAGAATTTTATATTAAATTCGTATATATAAATCACAAGTTCGCATTTGAATATATTTTTATTTAATTTAAATTCGACTCATTTACAATCCAAATCCAAAGTAACCTTATAAAAAAACATATTGAAGTGGTAAGTATTCTTCCTCATTATGAAATCCAGTAGACCAATAACTTTAATGGGTGATTGTTCTAACATAAGAATTGAAAATCTATTTTATTTTTTTGATTTTATATACCTGTCAATTGCTCAAGAAGTTAACATATGATTAATAATATTATTAAAGAGAAAAACTAAATTAGCAGATATTGTTGCCAAAAGTCTAATTAAAAACCATACTTTATTATTGCTTTCTTTTTTTTTTTTGCTTTTTATTATTCTCGAAGAGGCTTTTACATTCAAAATTATTAAAGAATTTTGCTCAGAAACTTTTTGAATTAATTTATTTTAGGTAAAACCCTGATATGCTAAGAAATATAAGGGCTCATTTTTAGGCTAAAAGTTAAAGGCTCATCCCATTTAGGATTTTTTTCTTTGAAATATTTTTTGAAGAAATTAATTTTAACACCCCAAAATGGGATTTTTCATAAATTAAAACGTTTAAAAGGTTTAAAATGTGATACTATTCATATGGATCATATGCAAAAGTCACTTCGAAGAAATTGCTACTGAGATAAAATGGACCCCTAAACACATTAAATAATTATGCGATAGTCCAGTCATTGGCACCACCTTGTCTGGGTACGTTGTTTTATACCAATTTCATTACTGTGCGTTTTTTTCTTTTTCTTTTGCAATTTTTTCTGCTAGTTAAGTAACATGTTTGTCGGATGCGTTAAATTAGCCTTCTAGAGCTTTTTTCCCGAGTATTTTCTTGTATTAGAGCTGGGATATGCATTCTTGAAAATTTTCACTTTCCATTTATAAATAAAAGTTTGATTTATTGCCTTATTTACTAAATACTTAGGGTTCATACGGTTAAAATTTTTTTTATTCAGGAAGCACCTTGTGAAACTCTTAAACTGCATTTATTTAAAACATGATTTAGTACAATCTTGAATATTTCTGCTAATAGGTGGGGATACAAGGTCCCAGCAACCCTGGTAAACATAAACAAGCACAAAACATAATGTAAAAGATGGTACTAAGCAAGATTAAGCAGCCTTCAGAGTGTTGCCTATGTCTATGACAAATCGGTATCGAACATCAGCCTTCACCAATCGCTCCATTGCAGTGTTGACGTAATCCATCGGAATAAGCTCAATGTCTGCCGTTATGTTGTGTTGGGCTGCAAAATCAATCATCTCTTGCGTCTCCTTTATGCCCCAATGCTACTCCCAGCCACTATTTTTCTCCCTGTCATCCAAACACTTAAATGTTAGCCAGCATGTCTTTCACATGTGAAGTACTAAAATACATTAAAACCCACGACCCAGAAACTATATTAGTAAAGATAGAAATGCTTACCCAGTATCAGAGGAAATACTGGAAGCTCAAGAGGCTTTTCTGGTACACCAACCAGGACCAGCTTTCCGTGAGACTTCAATAGGCCAATCAATGGCAACAGAGGGTGAGGTGCTGAGACTGTATCAATGATACCATCCATTGTGCCCATAGCGGCCTATATTTTACTTCCGTTAGATCCGTAAGACTAGAACATATAGAACATCATTAGGAAACTGAGGGACAAATGGTTACCTGCATTTGATCTGGGTCACGGCTGAGCAAAAAGGAGTCAGCACCGAGACGCTCAGTTGCTTCCTTTTTTTTGTTAGGAGATGTACTTATCACTGTTACTTTCACTCCAAAAGCTTTGGCGAATTTAACAGCTGCGTGGCCAAGGCCACCTAGACCAACCACGCCCACATGCATGCCAGGTTTGTCCAGTCCGAAATATCTAAGTGGGCTATAAGTTGTGATCCCAGCACAGAGCAGAGGAGCACAAGCGTCAAGAGGGAGGTTTTCCGGAATGCGAATCACAAAACTCTCATCGCATACCATGATATCGGAGTAGCCTCCGTGCGTGGGGGTACCGTCGTGGTAAGTGCCGTTGTATGTCGGTATGACCTTGGGACAGTAATTCTCGAGATCATTAGCACAGTTTTCACACGAATGACATGATCCGACGAGGCACCCAACTCCAACTCTGTCTCCAACTTTGGATTTCTGCACCTTGCCTCCGACCTCAGTCACCACACCCACAATCTCATGCCTGCGTTGCAGTCGATTGAAGCAAGAACAAAGTCATAATTAATTCCCTATACAATTTAGAGAGTTCAGCAATCTGTGTGTAAATTAAGGTTGGCGAAGAAAGCATCGAGGGGGAAAGTGAAAGAATTACCGGGGACAACGGGATAGTTGGTGGTGCCCCATTCGTTCTTGGCCTGGTGGAGGTCGGAGTGGCAGATGCCACAATACAACACTTTAAACGTCACATCCTTCTCTCCAGTCGCCCTGCGTACAATTAGGACATTACGTTTAAATCACCGGACAGAGACTGGCAAGTTTAGATCCGAAGCATAGAGGCTTTACCTTCTGGAGAATTTGAAGGGTGCGAGGACGCCAGACGTGTCACTGGCCGCCCATCCAACTGCCTTCACGGGGTGCTGTTCCTTCGGTGATTTAGCCATTGGGAGCGTTAAATTAAAATTGCAGCCTAATGAGAGAGCGGGAGAGGGAGAGACAACAAAGCGGGGTATGTGTAGAGAGAGAATGTGAAGTAGAGCCGAAGCCTTGCAGTGGTCTGATGGAAAGAGTAATGGGTGGTATATATAGAGTCACGGATGGCGAGGGATGACGCAGTCGATGAGCTGGGCTGGCCGTAGCGGAATTGGATTCTCATATTTCAGCACGAAGTTTCCGGACTCCCGCTATACATAACCGACTCCCACGCGACTGTTTTATCTTTTTCTTTTTGAATTTCAGTTTATTTTTATTGAAATATAAAAATATTTTTTACAATGTTTAATTTTTAAAAACTAATTATTTATTACAAAAATTTCTTAAAATAAAATTATGATTTTTCTGATTATTTTAGATTTTTTGAGGCGATATAAAATCCAAATAAACTTTTAACTTTAGGACTTTTTCCTTAAATCGCAAATATCTCTTTTGTTAGCCAGGTTTGTCAATCATCGTTCTTCTAGAGTTATTTTCGTACTTCATTGTGTGATCTGTAGTAGCTTCCGTGCGTGCAAATGCAGCCTTGGCGACAGTAAGCCGGGTGGCGTTGTGGTCTAGCATCTTCCTCTTTGCATTTTTGCTGTTACCTAATTTTAGTTGTTACCTTGATTGACACTCTCTCTAATTCGGAATGACAACCCAAACCGAAGCCAAAACCGAAACCGAAAATCTGCCTGCCTGGCCTGAAGCAAGAATTGTGAAAGTCTGGAATCAAAATCAGACCAATCTTTAAAATTCTAATCTCAGTTCTTTTTTTTTTTAAGATCAGAATTGATAGTTTAATTTTGATTTTAAATAATTCACAAAACGTGAATAGGTCTAAGTTGAGTTTATGGTAATTGCGTTGAAATTCAAGGTTAAGGATTTTTTGAATTTTGCTCTGGTAGGGTTTGACTGATTCACTGATTTAATCAGTATGGATGTTGTAAGTATATTTAATATAACATATTTATGTATTATTATAAATAATGTAAAAAATAAAAAATAACAAAAAAATAAGGATAAAAATTTTGAAAATTAATAATACTTTTTATTATAATTACCCGTCAATTTTACATTTAAAAATTAAGAAAAGTAAATTGAATTTATATATTTTCAAAAAATGAGAAAATTGTTTAACTAGTAAAGCGGTCTTTCTAAATTTGATGGATTTTCAATTTTTTTTACTGGTTTAAAATTCAAATTATTTTTTTTTTTCTTTTTTGTTAATTGATTCAAAAAACCTATATCCTCCAATCTAACTATTGAACCAGTTGGTCTGGTCCGATTTTTGAACCATTGGTTTAAAATAGTTGAGTTGAAATTTTCAGGTTAAGACTTTTTGAACCGTGCTTCATTCGGGTTTGTGGAGGAAGATGATAGGCCTTTATTTTCCCCTTGTTACAGGCTATGCAGGCTTTGTTTGATTCAAAGTAATGACACTCTTGGGTTAGTCAACGTCAAATGTTAATGGCAGCCAATTGGGTTAGTCAACGGTTGAATCAACGTCAAATATTTATGACTGCCAATGACACGTAGACCAAGTGGTATCGTGCTCTAATTTTTGATACTATGAATTTTTGTTAGTTTGGATTCCCGCTTACATTTCTTTACAATTTCGTTTCTCTAATACTGTGTGCTCGTTGTATTAAAGAAAAAATATATCGTTAAATCTTAATGGCTGCGCCAAACAGAAGGATTTGATGTGGTGGTGTGTTCAAGGTCCGGGTAGTCCGCCGTCCACGTGCTGTTGTACAATCACCATCACCCTCTTCTCAGTTTGGGCTAAAAGTAACGTGACAGGTCATAGCTGACATCACATTTCCTTCCGATGAGGTGGATAGAAGGTGAAGTATGAGCGTCAATTAAGAAGGGAGAAGCTAGTTCGTTTGACTCTCCAACAGGTCATCCTGTTCCTTCATGGAGACCATACGTCACAGGATCAGAGACCAATTTCACTGCTTTTAAAATGACCAACGGTGAAATCCCAAATCTTTTCAAAAGTCATTGCCCGCAAGGTATTTATACAAATTAAGCCGGGTTTATTATTATTTACCTAAATAAATTTATTTTTACATAAATACCATACTTATTTGATTAATTAAAGTAAAATATATATAAATTAAAAAAGTTTCGATTATTTATTTTAATTATTTTTAAGGTGGAAGGACATGAACATTATATAAGTAAAACAAAGGTGAGGGATACGCCTCTCCTTTCAAGAATTAAGTAGGGGCAAAACGGTAATCGTGCAATAGTAGGCAATGGTGGAAATTCTGGAAATTTTTGAAGAGCAAAATTGTCTTTCCGTAAGTATTTCCGAAAATTAGATATTAAAAAAAGGCCAAAGATGGCGCGTTAGGGTCGCCAATCCGAGGATTGCACGTGTCCAACTGGCCCGTTGCTTCCTCTGTCCCCTCAATCGCAGACAAGAAGTCCACATCATAAAGTGATTCTTTTAAACTAAAGTATTAACGGTGTAAGGATAATTCTAGATCATTTCGATTGCTGATACGGGTTAGGTCCATTTATGATAATAGGCTATTGTGTAGCATCTGTTCTTTTTGAATTAACTATGATTATTCTACCGTGAATAGTATGTTATCGCCCTTAATTTCTTGTTTTTACTGTTACCTAACTGTACAGTAGTAAATGGGTTTTGTAATTTATTCTTTGATCTATAATTTTGTGAGATAATAAGCAATAGCGCAAATAGATTTACACAAGTAAAAATAATCAAAATTCAACCAATAAAGATGTAGAGGAAAATTGAATTCAGATTAATCAAATAGCAGTCAAAAGTGCATATAAAATTAATTTCAAAATGCTTATTTAACCCTAATAAGAATCCGAATCACAAATTAGATTTTTCATTGTTTTGTCTGACATTTGGGATTGCTAAAATTTGCAAATCTATTGACTCAATTTGTAGGCAATTCTCACATGTGCCAGATGAAAGAACTCCTTTCTATACTCTGCTTGGTCAGAGTTTGTCAATTCTTTTTTCAAGTGTCACTGGATTTGGTTGGAGGGTTACAGAATTTCATTGGACAATCAATCCTCAAGGACTAGTACACTACAAAAAATAAAAATAAAAATAAATGCTGGTTTTTTATTTTTATTTTTTACACTTAAGGGCTTGTTCGTTTTGCATGATAAGGCAGGATAAGAGCATGTAACGGATAAAGAAACCGATACATATCAGCGCAAGGGGGATACATTATCTGACGTTTTGGATGGGATAAAATTTATCCCACCCTTATCAGCCTATGAAATGGCCCATTTACCTTTCCTTCCTCAGTCTTCGTCTTCCTTCAGTCGGCTCCTATCCTCAGTCTTCCTGATCTTCCTTCGGTCGGTTCCGGATCTCCTCATTGCCTTCCATGCCGGCAGCGACTTAGTCTTCGTCGTCCAAACACAGGACAATTCCGTGCCGAACAGAGACTCAGTCTTCGATGTCCAAACGCAGGACGGCTCCGTGCCAATGGACGTGCCAGCGGCGACTCGCGGAAAAGCTTGCTCAGAGGAAGTCGAATTGACGAGGGAGATGTCCTGGCAACGATTCTGTCGAGCTTGTCAGCCTCCGAAGTGACCACGATGGAGGATCCCGGTCCGATCTGAAAAGCTTGCTCAGATGAATGATTCAATCGACGAGGGAGCAGGCTTGGGAGGAGGCGAAGTAGAGGGCGGCGCTCCGATCTGGCATGGCGATCCGATTCGGCGAGCTGACTGGTGGATCCGATCCAACTGCTCTATGGTGTTTATTTTTATTTTTTTTAAACTAGAGGGCATTTTAGTAAATTTAACCTTTTATCCTACTTTTAAAAATTTTATCCTATTTGTTATCTATTAAACCGAATATGTGATAAAACTATTTAATCCGGGTAAATTTATCAATCTTTATCCTATCACCCCATATTCTATCCTCCCATCCAAACGGCCCCTAAGAATGTTACTAAAACCGTTAAAATCTCATTCATTATTTGCTATAATATAACAGTTTCAGTTCAACCATCATTCAAACTGTTGTATTATACAATAGAAAATCACGACATTTTTTTATAGTGGGAGGATTCTTGGAGTTTAAAAGCTTGAATAATTCTTCAATACCCTAAGAGATTTTCTTTCCATAATCTTAAGTGTTCGAGAGGGTTTTAAAATCTTTGAGAGATCAGAGAACTTGAAAAAATATAGATAAATCATTAAGAAATCCGTTGTAATGCACTAGAGCATTAAGAAATCCGTTGTAATGCACTAGAGCAAACCCTGACATGTTATAGCACACTCGCGCTATAGCTTGCTGGTCCAAGTTATAATTTGGGAACCTTTTTTTTAACAAAATCCACTTTCACTTGAACTTCCAAATAATCACTCCCAAATGTTTACTCAATGACCCTAAATCTCTCAAGGCTTCTAAATCATTCTTTTTATGCTATTTTTCCAAAGTAATGTGCCTTAATCCTAAAAGAATATTTGATTCCGTTGCATTCATAAGTTGTAAGAAATAATATGAACTCAAAATATTTTATTTATTTAGTTTTGGACGTGCTACAATATATAATTTTTGAAAATTTAATTTTTTATATTGAGAATTAGAGATTTTGAATTGATGAATGCAGCTGATAGATTTCACAGTTTAATTAAGTCCAATACTCTTAAAATGTGAACCAGAATGAGGATTTTAAAATATAATCAAATAAAGGGTGGTGTTACACCAACAAAACAATTCTGTCTGACTTTCATATAATAACAAACAAATAGCAAGATATTAAGTTCATCCACCTTAAGATTTTTCACCTACATAGATAAAAACTTGAAGAGAACTAGGATATGAATTATTTTCTGCGGAGCTTGTTTGTTGAACAAATGGCACTCCTTCTTCTCCTTGCTATTGCATTCAAATGTCGCCAAACAGGATGATCTCTAGGATGAGAGAGAAGAAGAACGGGAGGGAGGCTGTTGCTACAGGAGGTGATTGTGATGCCAGGAGGGCTTCCTCTTGTGGAATCAACAGCGAGGAAGACGGTGATACCTCTTGAGAAAAGCTCCAACTTTCTAAAAATAAGTCAACTATTCTTGAAGAGAGCTTCAAAAAGCAAAACACTTTCAATCCTGTAAGCACATAATCATTGTATACGTGTTTATGCATTGATTTTTTGGGCTTTTTCTTTGATTGTTCTTCAAAATGGAGAGCTTGCTTTTCTTCTCCTTGTGATGTCTTCTCCTGTTGATAGGGTTTCGGATGGAAGAGAGAACAACGCAAGTTGATTGACACACTGGTTCCTTTTCTTCTTAATATTTCAATATGATTCTTGAATTATCCAGCTTTGGATTTAATCTCTAGGATTTTAAATTTTTTTTTACTTAAACCTCTGTTAAAAATCTTAAAATTTTGATTTTATATAATTAAATTCTTATTTTCAATTTACTAAAATTAAATATATTTTTATTATTTTTATTTGAAAAAATAGAAAATAGTAAATTAAATCAAACACGTTTTCTAAAATTTGTAAAATCTAAAAATAAGAATCATTTTCAAAAAGTAAAAGCAGAAAATACAAATAGAAAATATATTCACCAACTAAACAGGCCCCATATTAGCAGATATTGTGGCCAAAAGTCTAATTAAAAACCATACTTTGTACATATGAAATGCTATATTAGCTGTGAATTATTTACATTTCTTTTTTCTGTCATAATTCGGTCTACAGAATTTGCATTCCAAGGAGACGATCTGGACATCAACAGAGAGAATGTGGGGAGACAGCAGGAGAAATGGATCAGGGGTTAGAACCCCTGACCTTGGTGACCCGGCTAATTACGCTGGGTTTCGAGAGGATCCAACAAAAAATAAAAAGTATTAGAGAGGTTTGGAATTCTCTTTATTCCTCGTAAAGAAGTTTGAATTAGGAAGAACTAGACGAGTAATTTGCATGAAAAGGATCTACTTGGACATTTTCACACACCAAACTCTTGTACCAATTACAAGAAGCACCTTGCGAAACTCTAAATCAGATTGCTGTATTCATTCTAAAACGTGATGTACTACAATATTGAATATTCTACTAATAGGTGGGGACACACGGTCGTAGCAACCGTGGCAAACACAGAACTAACAAGCTCAAAACACATTGTAGAAGTGGTACTAAGCAAGATTAAGCAGCCTTCAGAGTATTGCCTATGTCTATGACAAATCGATATCGAACATTGGCCTTCACCAATCGCTCCATTGCAGTGTTGACATAATCCATCGGAATAAGCTCAATGTCTGCCGTTATATTGTGCTTTGCTGCAAAATTAATCATCTCTTGCGTCTCCTTAATGCCCCCAATGCAACTCCCAGCCACTATTTTTCTCCCTGTCATCCAAGTATTACATGTTAGCCAGCATGTCTTTCTCATACAAAGCACTAAGATACATTAAAAACCACGACCCAGAAACTGTATTATTAAAAAAGCAAATGCTTACCCATTAGCAGAGGAAACACTGGAAGATCAAGTGGCTTTTCTGGGGCACCAACCATGACCAGCTTTCCGTGAGACTTCAATAGGCCAATCAATGGCCACAGAGGGTGAGGTGCAGATACGGTATCAATGATACCATCCATTGTGCCCATAGCAGCCTATAGTTACATCCAATCCAATCCAATCCGTAAGAATAGAACATCATTACAGAACTGAGGGACAACTGGTTACCTGCATTTGATCTGGGTCACGGCTGACCAAAAAGGAGTCAGCACCGAGACGCTCAGTTGCTTCCTTCTTCTTGTTAGGGGAGGTACTTATCACTGTTACTTTCACTCCAAAAGCTTTGGCGAATTTAACAGCTGCGTGGCCAAGGCCACCAAGACCAACCACACCCACATGCATGCCAGGTTTGTCCAGTCCGAAATATCTAAGTGGGCTATAAGTTGTGATTCCAGCGCAGAGCAGAGGAGCACAAGCGTCAAGAGGGAGGTTATCCGGAATGCGGATCACAAAACTCTCATTGCATACCATGATATCGGAGTAACCTCCGTACATGGGGGTACCGTCGTGGTAAATACCGTTGTATGTCTGTATGGCCTTTGGACAGTAATTCTCGAGATCATTAGCACAGTTTTCACACGAATGACATGATCCGACGAGGCACCCAACTCCAACTTTGTCTCCAACTTTGAATTTCTGCACTTTGTCCCCGACCTCAGTCACCACACCCACAATCTCATGCCTGCGTTGCAGTCGATTGAAGCAAGAATAAGGTCATAATTACTCCACTGTACAATTTAGAGACTTCAACAATCTGTGTGTAATTTAATGTTGGCGAAGAAAGTATCGAGAGGGAAAGTGAAAGAATTACCCAGGACAACGGGATAGTTGGTGATGCCCCATTCGTTCTTGACCTGGTGGAGGTCGGTGTGGCAGATGCCACAGTACAACACTTTAAAACTCAGATCCTTCTCTCCAGTTGCCCTGAGTGCAATTAGGACATTACATTGAGATCACCGGACCGAGACAGGCAAGTTTAAATCTGAAGCATAGAGGCTTTACCTTCTAGAGAATTTGAACGTGCGAGGACGCCAGATGAGTCCCTGGCTGCCCATCCAACTGCCTTCACTGGGTGCTGTTCCTCCGGTGATTTAGCCATCAAGAGCTAGCGTTGAATTAAAATCGTAGCCTAGTGTGTGTGTGTGTGTGTGTGTGTGTGTGTGTGTGTGTGAGAGAGAGAGAGAGAGAGAGAGAGAGAGTAAAGCAATTGATAGAGAGTAAAACAGAGCCCAAGCCTTCCACTGCTTTGTGTGATAGGAAGAGTAACGAGTAGTATATATAGGAGTCGAGGACGGCAGGGGATGCGCGGTCGATGAGCTGGGCCGGTCATTGCGGGGGTCGGTTGAGTTGGAAAATTCTGGATTCTCATTTTTCAGCGCGAAGTTTCCTGATTCCCACTACTCATAATCAACTACCACCTACCTTTTTTCTAATAAACTTTCAACTTGTGGATTTCATATTTAAAAAGAAACCACCCCTGTTGTCAGCCAGATTTGTTAACCTGCGTTATTGTAGAGTCACCTTCATTCTGGGAACTGTAGAAGCTTCCGTGCATGGAAATGCAGCCTTTGTCGACAGTAGGCCGGTGACGTCGTGGCCCTCAAGCATCTTCCTCTTTCCAATTTTTATTTGACTTTCCAAGAGACACAAGGAATTAAGTGGGGTTTGGTTTCGCTCTCTGTTCTTCTTTTATTATGCTCTGTTTTTCTGTTCATTTTCAATATAAAAATTCAGCTCTTTATACAAAAGCCCTACTTTTTAACAATAATTAATAAATATATTAAATATCTTCATGTTGGGATGTCAATAAATCAAAACTTTCTTTTTTAAAAAATATGAGGTGCTCAAAATAAGGATAAAGACTAGACAAGCCCAAGAAACCGCCTATTTAATGGTACTAGAAGGTTTCGGCATATTTGAAAGTCAAACATTGTTTACCATGAATCACTTTTAATTGTTACTTTTCGTGACACCTATTTATGAAAAGTTGGGTTTGCGTAGTTGTGTTGAATTCCGAGGTTAAGGCTTTTTTGAGACCTGCTTTGGTCGGGTATGTGGCAAAGGATTATCGGCTTTGCGTGGTTTATGGTAGCCGAGATTGTTGCAGGACTGATCTCTGCCACTACTGATGAATTTAGGATTTTTTATAAAAGGGCTGACACTAATAATGGCTTATATGAGCTCAATCGGCCAGTCATAGAAATCCTCCTGCTGTTTCCAATCAAACGTATATAGAGTGTGAATGATATTGACTTGATTAAAATACTGAAAATCTGTAGAATGACCTGTCTCTAATTTGCTTGGAACGGTGGTGGTGGTGGTGGACAACATGGGTTACTCGATCAGAATGGCAGGGGATGACACTGGCTTAATTGACCGAAATGGTGTAGAACGGTAAAATAGAAGAGCCCTACTGTTGTTTCAATTAGAATGGTGGTGGTAGATGACATTGGCTTAATTAGATTGGCGCATGACACTAATTTGATTACAATAGTGTGAAGTTGTAGAAAAACCTCAAAGGAAGTGGCCAACATTCGATGCAATCTTACAAATGAGGTGATTCACCGCATAAAGAAGAAGGTCAACTGTATGTTTACTACTATTTTTGAAAGTTTTACAATTTTATATTTTAGTTCTTAAATTTTTTTAAAATAATCCATCAACATTATTTTTTATTTCCTACTTTTAATTAACGTTCTCAATTCTGAATTTAGTTTATTTTTATTTATAATTTTTAATTTTTTATGCAAAGTTCTTTATAGCGGGTAAAGAGGATGTATATGTAGGAGCTAAAATTTAAATTTTTTTAGGGATTTATTTTATATACTAATTATATGATAATATTAAAAAATTAAGTTCCAGAGAGTTCCTCCCGCACAACTTGTAAAAAATAAATTAAATTCAGAATTGAGAATGTTAATTAAAAGTTTTTTTTAATTTCATATATGTAATTAACATTTGAAATATTAAATTTAGTTTATTTTTATTTATAAATTTTTAATGTGTTTATACAAGTTCTTCATATTGGGTAAAGAGTAGGGATGTCAATGGGTCGGATTCGGACCGGCTCATGGTAGATCCAGATCCGAATATAATAAAAATATATTATATTTGAATTTGACCCGAGATCTTATAGGATCTGTGATTAGTATTGTCATATTCGAATCTGAAAAAAATCTGATCTCTGAAAAATTAATCCGAATCTGAATGAGGAAATTCTTAATGCAAAAATTATATTAAATATTATCCAATTCATCAATACAAAAGTTAATGACAAAAAAAAGAGAAATATATGACAAATGAAATATATAATTAGTATACTTTGTAAACATTAATACTAGAAAAATTTGAATAATTAAAATAATAATGAGTTATTCAATCACGAAAAGAAACAAAATATTAAGATTATTTATATTATATAAATTATTTATTTCTATTTAAAGCATTTTGCCTAATCAAAATTGTTTAATTTTATAAACTAAATTGTGATACACCTTATTTACTTTTTTTAAAATTGATTCACATATAAACACAATAATGGTTATGTGTGTATATTTGTATATATATAATATAATATCCATGTATGATTTTTAATGGATTGGATTAGGCAAGATCCATATTCACTCTATTTATTTCAGATTATGAATTTTTTTAATCAGATTATATCAATCGAATCTTTTATCGGTTAAAGATTCTAAATAATCAAATCGAATTCGGATTAAAATCCGCTCCATTGACAGCCCTACTAAAGAGGATATAATTAGGGATTTATCTTATATACTAATTATTTTATAATATTAAAAAATTAAGTTCCAGGGAGTCCCCCTGTTTATGGATATGTTTGACTACCTGTTATTTAATATCAAATACCAGTACTAAATTGTTAAAAACAATAGCATTACTAAATTATTAATTATAATGTGGCAATAATCTAGACCCAAGCATGAAAAGTAGAGGTGTAACGTGGTCCAGGGCTGGTTTAGGCCATGAACCGACCTAGACCAAACTTTAAAAAAATCAGACCAAACTGAATCGGCAATTTTTGATCTAGTCCAATTCTATATTGTATCGTTTCATGGTCTATTTAATATTTATATTTTTTTTAAACTTGAACTAGAATCGAAACTGTCCAAGAATTGGTGAATCGAAATTATAAGTGAACTGTTCAAATTAAACCATAAACTAAACCGTACATAAACTGTGAATTAAAACTATTAATGAACCATGAGAAGTGAACCGTGAATTAGATTATGAGTGAACAGTGAAAATTTAATCGTGAAAAATTATCTTTTATTTTTTAGATATAGCAAAAAGACTTTTACTTACTTTTTTGAGATGAACTTATGCAATCTATTTTTAAATATAAAAGAAAAACTTATTTTTACATATAAATTTATTTTAAATACATTAATTAACAAAATTTATATTTGGAAGATGAAAAAACAACAACTAGAATTGGGATAGCGAAAATTAAGATAAAAAATAGAAAGGTACACTAATTAAGGTAAGAGTGCATTTTGATTCTTCTAAACCCTAATAGAATATGTAGACAATTTAATTGATACAAAATTAAGTTCAAATAATTTATTATTATTATTTTCTGTGTTTAGTATTTGAAAAATATTTATAAGATTAAATATTATAATATTTAAAAAATATTTAATAACTTAAAAATATTTATAAGTTGATATATAATTTTTTCAATAAAATCGAACTGAAACCAAACCAAAAATGAACTGTAAATGAATCGGAACTGGAACCAGAATCATGAGTTAACTTGGACTAGAACCAAAACCGTGAGTCAAACCATAAGTGAAATTAGAACCAGATTGACTTCATGGTTCTAGTCTTAGTTCATATTTTCAAGGACCAGAATAAACAATTTAGTTTCAAACTATCAGTTCTAATTTGAATCGATTCACGAACAATGAGCAAGTCTAGTCTAAGATAATCCTTTATTCACATGTTATTATACAATCACTATCAATCTCTTCTTGTGTTTGGACTAAAAAGTACATGACAAGTCATAACTAATGTCATATTTCCTTTCAATGAGGTGGATAAAAAGAGAAGCATGAATATCAACATAGAGCACAAAGATTCATGTTCACGAGAAACTGACTACGTTGCTTGTAAAATGACCAAACATGACATCCCAAATTTTTTCAAAAGTAATTGCTCGCATAATTAAAAAGAGGCACGATGACAACCTTACTGGAGCCCTCAGATGGCACCCATGGAAAATACTCCTTTGACTTGGAAATTCGAGTTTTAAGCTGCAATGTGAAGGGAAAAACATCTTTGCACTCATTCATTCCTTGTCACAAGTGCACTCGCTATTGAACTAGAGAAGGCGATTAGTCGAATAGAAAAGATGAGATGACGCCGAATGACATAGCTATACCACCCCTTTCCATTGCTTTGCTCACCTTTGAAGCAGTTCGATATCAGCTAAAGCAAGGCAAAAAGGGTTACGATCACGGACAGACAACCATTCTAGTCAACTCATCGTTCTCGCTAATGGCTGCAAAGCATTGTGGATTAGAGGAAGAAGTGACAAAGATGGTTGTTGTGCACTAAGGCTTGGCAATCAAAAAAGATGAATGATGTAGCATATTTGCACAATGGTCCTTCAAATTTCTTGTAATGACCCAATTTTGGGTTTAATTAAGATCAAGAGCTTCATTACTTAAATTAAAAAGTTTTAAGGGTCTAATTGTAAAGTCTAGGGGCTGATTTGAGAATGAGAGAAGATTAGGGCTAAATTGAAATGGTTATGGTCAAATTGAAGAAATTGAAATATACAAGGACTCGATTAAAAGAGTAAGAGGTGAAATTGAAAGAAATAAAACTTTGGGGTGACTAGATCTGGATTAAGACCTACACTTTCGGTCCAACAGTAGATTAAACTGTGTAGGCCATTCTATCATGATTTTGGTAGATTTTGGCCTACAAAATTGTTTGTTAAGTGTGAGTTTGGGCAATCTACAATTGGCCTCAAACAATTTTGAGAGATTGAGAGAGAAATCAAAGGAAATTGAGATTTTTGACTGATAGAGCGTCACGTTCGGCCAGGGTATTTTTCTGGGATTTTAGCTTATTTTAATTGATTTTTCTTTGATCAAAAACCATCATTTGGTTCACTTGGCTTGGATTCACAGCTTTGGGTTTGTAAATCGGTTCAAGCATGTGGATTATTTGGGTTTTAAAGTTTATTTTTGATTCAAGTCAGTTGCAAACCTAGTTGTAGGCATTGGGTCTATAGTCGGGTGCCAAGGATGAACTCAGATAGGGATTTGGGTTCATGCAGGTTAGACCCAGGTTGGGTCTGGGCCCAGGCTTGAAGAGCTTAGGCTGGCTAGGCTAGTTTGGGCCCAGTCTCGGTTGGGCTTGGGCTAGAAAGGGGGGCTTGAGTGAGGTAGGTTGGCCTAATTAGGCTAGGTCGAGCCTAGTTGGTTGGGCCAATGGGCCAATGTGCCTGGGCCTAGGCTAGGGGTTAGCTTAGATAGGTGAGCTAGGTTGAGTCAACTCAGTGAGTGGACTCGGCCAATTGTTTAAACTGTGGGGTTGACCTATTTGATAAATTAGGATATGTTATCCTAGGGGAT